CCAGGTGCTGCCAAACAGATAAGCAGATGACCTCCTCTCCACCATTTTACATAAATAATCTCAGTACTTCTTCCACTGTTGCCAGACTCTCATCAGTTTGTGTACTTAAGACGGAGCACATGGTGTAATGCAAATCTCTTCTTCATAAAAAACAGAGATACCTTAATCTAAGCAGTGGACATGTGTTCGAGGTACGTCTGTGTGTTTATTCCCATGTTTGTTGTGCTTGTACTGATCTGTGTGTGTTTTCGTGTGCTGTGATGTCGTCACGGCTGGCTGCAGTCTTTCATTCAGCTCGCTGCTGGAGAGCCCGAGGCCTTCAACATGTGCTTGCTGGCTGCAGATGCTATCAGGTGTGATTAGAATAGCGTGTTTGTTGGCACACACTCTCTCTGTCTGATAGCAGTTACACTTGTGACAGCTGCCCCGAGGAGAAAACCCCTGCACCTGCCTCTGTATCTGTAAACAGGTAAAAAAAAAAAAGTGTGATGTCTATGTGTGAGCAGGAGGGGATGTAAATGGGGCAATTTGCACAGATGAGATCAAGTTGTCAAGGTGCATTGAGGCCATCAAACCAGAAGAGAAAAATTACACCATCCTTATTAGACATGTAAGATCAGTGGGGTCGTGGGGACGGGACCCAGAGGATCACTGATGCAAATGTGTGTGAAATGAGGCAGAAGAGTGGTGTGGATTACACGCAGCATGTTGGAGCAAAACATCACCTCTGGGGAGGATTCAGCTGCTGTGACTCACTGTTTTACACTTTACACTGTCGGGACGTGTTGGTCCAGTCCAGCAGTTTATATACCAATCAGTTCCGCTGTATTTGAGCATTTAATATCGTGGATAAGTTTTTGACAACAGAAGCAATTCATCTGTACAATATTTCAGTAATGCTGCTGGCAACGCCCTCATAGAGAAGATATTCTCAAAATAATTCTGCAAAAACTGAATTAGTGATTTCAGGTTTCATATTTAGATTTATATTTTGGTTGTATAGTGGTGGTTATTGGTAATATAAAATGATAAATGGCATAAAATAAACACAGTGTCAACTTATGATGCGAAAGCGACAAGATATGGGAAAAAAATTAAAGTGTCCGTGGCTGTTTTTAGGCTCAGCACACTTTGATCAAAAGGCATGCAAATCTGCATGCTAACATGCGGATGTTTATCAGGTATGACGTTAACCACGTTCACCATCTTAGTTAGCCTGTTAGCATGCTAATACGCACTAAACTCAAAGGCAGCTGGGGTGGATGCAATGCCATTAGTTTTGCAGGTATTTGGTCATTACCCTGTACAAATCTAAATTTAGTCCAGTCAGAGGATCACCAAAATTAGCAGTTTATCCTGCCACACTCAATGGCAAATTGACAATCCATCCAACAGTTGACCACAGCTGTTGACCAACCGGCAAACAGAATGATATTGCCATCTCTGGAGCCATGTCTTGCTAGTGTGGCAAAGAAAATGAAATATATAGGCCTCTTGATGCTTGAAGTTGAAGTTGTCATTGTACATGAGAACAACTTTCCTTTACCAAACTTCTTTTGTAGAACTACAAAAGAACCCTCGTCTATTTAGCAGCATCAACTATTAACCCTCATTCTTCACAACAAAAATAATGCCACGGGTGCATCATTGGAGAAATCATTTAAGCTTTTTCATCTCCAGATTTGCTCGTGCTATGTAGAGTGATTTTCTGGGTCTCCACTGGCCGAGATCAGCGAGGGGGAAACAAATGGAAACCTGCCAAAACAGGGGAGCTCTGCTTTTGAGAATCCTGCCTCGGGTTAAAAGACGATGAACTATTGCGGTCTTTGATCTGCGTTCATATATCCAGGCAGAATAACGATGGCTCCTTTGTGCGGAGCTAATGATGCCTGTGGTGCTTTAGCATACTGCAGAGGGGGATTTGTAGCCACACGGGTACCTTTAATGAGTTTTATTTGTTTTGTTTTATCCCCCTCCACCTCATACTCACCTCAGTACACAGAATAATGAAGAGGGAGGGGCGGTGCGGTTGAAAGAATCAGCCTTCTCTGCACCTTCATGGGGCTAATTATCCAACCCTCAAAGGATCATCTCACAGCCAAAGGAAAAGAGATTTCCCCTCCTTTCTCGACACATAATTCTACATTAGCCTCCTTCGTTAGTCCAAATTGGAGCGTGTCTGAATGAAGCTAATATCACTTGGTATTTTGATACTAGCTATTCCCATCCACAGGACTCATACAAGCATGCTGCTTTACTGATGGATACGAAAGAACACGAGGTAGAAACTCAAGAAATGAAGGGATCATGACACCAGAGGAATAGATATGACAAGAGGGTTGGTGGATAAATCCCTGGACATTCAAGAACGTACTCTCTGTAAAGTCAGGGACTACAGTATACTTTTTTTAAAAACTTGGGTAAACTTCCAACTTTTGTGTTACTGCTGCGCTAAACTAAAAACACATTCTCAGAATCTTTCCAGGGCTCAGCATTAAACTTTAATCCATCTGTCCCACTTTTATTTTTGAGTCATTTTCACACTCTCAGAAGTCTGTAATCACCGACACAGACGTTGCCTGGAAAGTGTGCCCTCTCGCAGCATCGGTCACACAATACGCTCCCTATCTCTCTCTGTGTGTCGGACGGCAGGTCCCAGTCCATCTCCTCCTCATTAAGCATATGTCTCATTTTCCATTTCAGACGGGAGATAGCATAGAAGTGCACACAAAAGCACTATTTTCAGGCCCATGCTGCTCATCTCGTCTGAAAGTCTAATGAGAGCGGATCAAATATAACTGACACCGAGGGGAGACAAAGGGAGACGTAGCCCTGGGTGAAAGATGAGGCGAGGTAGAACAATGGACCTAAATGTGCCGTCGCTGCGGCGGTATGGAGCAGGACCAGTGAATGCAGATGATTCTGTAATGAGGGATTAAGTGGTGGATTATGGGTCTTTATTAAGATGTTTCTGATCCTCATTAGGCAGAATCTCGTATCAGGGCATCGATTCCCTGCTCGCTCGCTGGATTGGCCGTTCTCTGGAGGAAGAAGAGAGGAAAAGAGAAAGAAAGAGTGAGAAAGAAAGATAGAGAGGCATGTGCTTCTTTAATCCTCCTCTGAGGCGTGAAACAAAAACCTAATCTAGAGATAGGCAGTGATTTATAATATATCTTTTGTCTGCATTTATCTTTTTAATAAAAGTTTAATTAAAGTATATTTTGACTTGGAAACATAAAGAACAGCTGAGGCTGATAGGAATGACACTAGCTGTGCAGGTATTTTTGGCAAAAATCATATAGAATAGATGATGTGCGAGATGAGAAGTCACAGGATCACCAAAGTTATTGTTCATCCTGAGCGGGACATGAATGTGTGTACCAAGTTTATAGACAAATCATCCAATACTTGAGCAATTCTGCAAGGTTCTGTGGCAATCCAAAAGGTTAATATTGATATTTCACTGATTAAAGGTAACATTGCAGATTTCAACCTTTGTATTGTTGCATTGTGGGTGGTATGTGCAAATGAACAACGTTTGGCTTCTCTCTGTGTTACCGGCCCCCAAAAGCTCCCCGCTCGTTTGCCAGCAAAGGTCCGTCTCGTGGCGCTAAACACCGTACTTTTGCCAACGGGTGATGTGAACATTGTACCACCCACATGCAACGAGACAAGGCCAGATGAAAATCAGCAAAATTTCCTTTTAAAGTTAAAATGTCTACCTGCTGATAGTGCTGTACGAAAATACAGGGGATGAAAATGATTTCAATTCATCCTGCAGGGAACATGAATGTGTACACCAAATTGAATAGCAATCTGTCATATTGTTGTTGAGACTTGTCACTCCAAACCACAACCTGCTGGTGACAGCAGAGGAGAAGTCAAGAGATCACCGAAGACAGAAAGGTTCATCCTCAGGGCACTACGAATGTGTGTTCATCGTTTCACGGCAATACATCCAATACTCGTTGACCGACTGATTTACAGATCCGGCATTAGCATCCGTAGAGCTAAGCCACTAGCATGGCTAAAACTTATTTTTTGAAAACAACTTACATTCTACCCCAACAATTCCTCCATTTGCATATTATTATTATCATCATCATGGATGCATAATATGTAACTTCAGCGAAAAATGACTCTGGTTGTGTTTGCCTGTGCGACTGCTCTGTTATTGTCTTTCTAATAGGAACAAGACAGAAGGAAACGCGCAGTCGAGCAGAAACAAACCCAGACGCTCCAAAGACAATATTTACACCTCATAACAACTCTGAACGAGACTGCAGCCAAACTAGAGCAGTGTTAATATAATTCAGAGAGTCTCAGCTGTTTATGTGACAATGTCCAAGTTTACTACGACAGACCGTAGACACAACGGTTTCAATTCCGCTCGGGCTCAGACTAAACTTCCTCCAGCTCAGTGCCATGATTTCAGCTGACACAAGCCTTACTTTATAACAAGTAGGGCAGCAGCACGCATGGCTTCTCCTCCGCTGCAAATCAAAAGGCTTCACAGATGTTGAACATTACACAGAACACATGCAAAAAATGGCATATAATGAGCAGAAATGGCTCTATGCTATACTGTATGATGTGTAGGTTATATATGGCAGTCTCAACTAAGACGATGGCTCAAACAACTTCAACTTTAATGTAAAGTAGTGCATTGCAGAGCTGATAAGATTGTTTTAGATTGTCCAGGTTTTTGTGCTCAATTCCCCAATCCAGCATATGTATCTGACAAAAGATTGGAGATTGTGAAGTTGTTAACTATTCATTATTTAAGAATAAGAAGCAAATTATTTCATGAAAATGAGAAACTTTTCTCATATTACAACCATTCTCTTTGTGAATTCCCTGTAAGTTACAACCAGCAATAGAAGTCTGGCCAGCTCTGGTTAAACTGTGTGAAGTATGAGTACTCAGGATCTTTTGAAAAAAAGACACTGAAACACAGCAGCAGTTTAGGTTATGACAGTTTTATTCAGTGCTAAGAGAGTCTAGTAGCAGGAGTCGTTGATGCGCTTCATGCTCATGAACCTCATGCTGCTACCGCCCATGTTCATGAAGTTCCTGTACTCGCCGGGCCTCACGTACATCATCCTGCCTCTGTACTGGGGCTGCTCGTACATCAGCCAGTGGCCCTCCATCACGTTGCAGGACATGCAGTTGGACATGCGGTAACGGTCCATGATGTTGTCGCTGTCATCCATCAGCTCAGACATCTGACCTCCAAAGTTCTCCCTCTCGTAGATCTTCATCCTGTAGGATCCTCTGTGCTGTGATGCAGAAGACGGGTGGGTTTAACTCAGAACATTTAAAAACATAATTGCATTTTCTAGAGATGTCATCTAGAGTAAATCTAGCCAAGTAGGTGCAAGATCTTACCATGGGGATCATGCGGCAGGACCCGATGGTGTCGCTCATGCCCATCATGCTCATGTAGTCGGAGTACTCGCCCCTCCTCATGAAGTACTGGTTGCCCATGTAGTTGGAGCGGTCGTACACCATGAAGCAGCCTTTCTCCACCCTGCAGGACTGGCACCTGCTCAGGTAGGAGGACATGTCGGGGCAGTCGCTCATGCACTCGTAGGAGCGGCCCTGGAAGTTCTTCTCCTCGTAGAAGATGATCTGAGGGAGAAAGTGTTTGGTTGGAACGTGTGCGGTATATGAGGGTTACAGGTGTCATATGTTCAAGCAGCACGTTTACTAAAATTTTTCAATTTTCTACATGTGTCTATTGAACCAGAGTGGGTCAGAGTGAACCAAAACAGTCAAATCGAGGGCCCAAAAACAACAACAATGAGCTCAAAGACCCTTTAAAGCTTAAAAACAGACGACTCAATGTGTTTAAAGGCCACAAGGGCAAAATGTAGATTAGCTGTTCAGTTCTGAAAATGAAAACTAACAGAAAGAGCTTACCTTGTTCATCGTGTTCATTCCGGTGGAAGTCATTTTGCTGGTTAGTGGGCTGCTGCTGCTGCTGGTCCTGCTGCTGCTCTTGCACCGAACTGTAACTCTACCTGGTTTAACCCTTTGCTTTTATACCTGACTCACAGACTGGCCCTTTTGTCTAAACCCCCTGAGCCAGCAACAGTGCCATAGAAATGCACAGAATATGGAGGGATTGTCCACATTTCCAGTGGCTGGCAGACTCAGAAACCCTTTCAGCAGTCACAGAAAGGGTGAACGGGTTAACAATTGCAGGTCGCACCTTCACATTATGCTGTTTTGTCAGCGAGAACGTACTTTTTTTTTTGAATCACATATGTGAGTCATTTGCAAAGTCACTGAATTTAGCTCGTAGTGGTGCATGTGGAAAGTTTTTGTATGTTAAATTTAGTAAGTTTCATGACATATAACACTCAGTGAATGACCGACATGTAAATGCATACTAATAATGACTTTCTGAAAAATGGCCAAAAGACTGTCACATAATAAACATAAAGAAACGTTGTGTGAGTGATTTTGACGGTGATTGTATTGTATTGATGTATAAATGAAACAAAAGTCAGTAATGAGGTGACATTTAATTATACATAAACATAATTGAAAATATATGAATTACGGCAAATGGTTGTTAGATCATGTAAGGGAAATACAAATAAATTATAATGTCTTTGGCAAATACTTTTCTTAAACATCATCAAGATTTCTGTTAGGCTAAACTTTAGGATATCACCTCTACTAATATGCATTTTAAAACACAAATGGCAAAATATATTATTGTGGATGGTGATTTTTTGGGGGGGATACTCAGGTTAATGTCACATCCCGATGAAATATTCTGATTAATGCAGAATATTGTAAAAAGCATTGACAAATCCCTCTGTATTCTACCAATACAAGACATTTAATGGGAAAACTAAATTTAAAAATATGTGAGGTTATTTTGTGATAATGAACTCTAAATCTAACTTTAGATCTAATAAGGCTGTTGGAACATCCTACTTACTATGTGTTTGTAATATACAGTGGGTGTATCAGACCCTGTTCAAATGTGTTTTACAGTTTAGATACCTTTTGCTTATTGAAGCAATCCACATCGCTTTAATGCATGTTTTAAATGGTAAGTATAGTATTACCCATATGAAGGATGAAATATTGATCTATAGGGAAGCCGGCATTTTCTTTAATTTACTAAAAGAGTGATGCAGTAATTAAATCAATTCTCTCTCCCTCTACATATCATATAGTTATGTTTCATGTTTTCTTTGTCTGTGTTTTTCTTATTAAGCAAAATGGGCAACAAACTGCATTTTGTTGCACAACAGGGTTGTGTGGATGAGAATTTCACAAATGTTGCCCTATCAGAAGAAACAATGTCTCAATAGTAAGTGAAGCACATTGTCCGGTTCAGTTTTCTACATAACAATAATTATAACTTCATATTCACATTAGTTTATTTGACATTGCCACAACAATAAATGTTTTGTATCCAGTAATCACATAGTAATCAAGGATTTCAGGCACAAGAAAGGAATAATATCAAGCTGTAAAACAATATAGTCAATCACATTTTAAGGTAAATTGAATGCACAATTCAATGTGATATGCTGAAACAAGTTTAGGATACAGGTACCATTAAGAGATGATCACGGTACAACATACAACTAATGAAAGTAGTGGGGTGTACTTTCACTTCTCAACAGAGGGGGGCGCTGTGACGAATGCTCTGCTCTCTGCCATGACTCTTGTCTTGGTAACAAAATCTGTTGTCAAACGTTGCTAAGGAAGTAATTGAGCTACTCTTAAATTAGCCGCTCTGAAACCAAACAGTACACCAGAGGTAACCTTATTTCAACGTGATGACAATGCCAGAGTTATATAAGACAGAAACTACCCACATTAGCCGTTTATGAATACGGTCTTTTAAACGTTTGCTTCAAACGTTAGCTGAGCTAGCATGTGACGTTATATCGCCTCTATAGCATGTTATAGCTAGCTTTTATGACTACTGTAGGCTAGAAGGTTAGCTAAAGTGAGCATTGTAACAGTTTATATGTAAACGTGACGTGTTGTCTGGATGATAGGTTAGTTAGCTGAAATCACGGAGCTTTTGTTAAGTTATTGGATAACAACGCGACTCAGTCTCGGACTCTAACTAATTTAGAGCGCTAAGGCTAACATTAGCATAATAAGCTAGCTCATGCAGCTAGTATTTATTAACAGTAACTAAAGATAGTTAGATAGCACAAAGCGATCCCTAACTAATGCTGCAAGTTTAACGACTGTGAACACTGTCTTCTACTGGAAATAAGCATGTTATAGGTTATACAGCAAACCCTCTTTGGATGGTTTACGAGGCTAAAATAAAGGCTAATTTAAAGGCCAACATCTCATTGAATGATTTTCTGCCCTGTGTGTTCAGGTGCATGTCAGTGAGCGATGAGCGAACTCCACCCACCTGATTGAAGCTGCTCTCAGACATGACAAGAGGATGACTGAGAATGGAGAGCACAGCCCGATCCACCGGTCCTGTGAAGTTTCAAAAGTCAAGACCTCCTCAGTAGATCCCAAATCCTGCAAGAACCATAATGAGGCCCTTAAACTCACTGCTAGAAAGGCCGAGGGAGAGATCAGTCCATACCAGCCTCGGCCACCCTTACTACCCAGGCTGTCAAAGTCCAGCAAAAGTGTCTCAGCGGAGGAGACCGTGAGAGCCAGGAGGCTGAGAAACAGCCAGGAGAGTCTGAGTGACCCGGTTGAGACCGGCTCCTCCACAGACTCGCTTAAAGAGGACCAAACAGCTCCAGGTGGGTTTGTTCTCAGCGATGACGCCCCCATCCGGACTGACCAGGACTCCGACGTGAGACTCCTCTCTGCTGTCACGACGGGATCCCCAGTCTTCTGGGACAGAGGTAGCAGTCTCTCCGAGTATGAAAGGAGGCCCCACAGTCAGCAGAGCGACCCCACGGACCACCGAGCGGGGCCCACCAAGCTGCGTCTGTCTCCGGTGCAACCCACAGGGACTCTGCCCGCTCTGGAGAAGAGCTTTGCGTCAGCCCCTTTGAGGGCTGCTAATAGGATTGACAGGGATTGTTTGGATTACGCCGTGTTGGCGAGAGAGAAACTCGGGGAGAGACTCCACAGGAACCTGAGCGACAGCCGGCTTCTGGAGAACATGGGGTCGGATAGTGCCTCTGTCAACTCCATGAGGTCCAGCTACAGCGTGCTCAGCCCCATCAGACCGCAGGACGTGAGGAACAGGTACAGTAAGCAATGGAGTATATCCTGACCATGGAGGTGATATCATCCCCAGGATGGAATTGAAGGCTCTTTTAGAAGGCTTACTCTTTACGGTGTCAGAGAGAATGCTTTTAAAGACCGGTCTGTTTCAAGAGTACCTAAGATCCTGTACCGCATTGGTCTGAGCTCTGACCAAGCTTCACCTACCTACGCCTTGTACCAAAAGAAAATTGCTCGAAAGAAAGTGCTGACGTTCCTTTCCGGTGTGTGTTTTCTCAGGAGCTTTCTGGAGGGCAGCGTGCTGGGGAGCGGTGCCTTGCTCGGGGCTGAGGAGCTGGACCGCCACTTCCCCGACAGGAGAATGAGCGTCTACGTAGCCACTTGGAACATGCAGGGAGAGAAGGTAGCGGAGGACATCGTGACCCAGCAGCATCTCCCAGACTAAGAACCATTTAAAGTCGTACTACTGAGTTGTAACCAAGTTTCTATCGTTTTCAGGGGCTTCCAACAAACTTAGATGATCTCCTCCTTCCAACGGATTCTAAATTTGCACAAGACTTTTATATCATTGGGGTCCAGGAGGGCTGTCCTGACAAGTGTGTTATGTTTTCCTTTGATTTGAATCATCATCACGGAATTAAAGTGAGTTATTATAATTGATGGTGACTGTGACTGTTCATGTGTGTGCAGAAAGGAGTGGGAGACCCGTCTCCAGGAGACTCTGGGCCCTTACTACGTCATGCTATATGCAGCATCACATGGGGTTTTGTATCTCACTGTATTTGTCAGAAGAGACCTCATCTGGTTCTGCTCAGGTAATAAACTCGCTCCCTTCTTATATTATGTGTGTTTAGTGCAGATTATTGGAAGATGATTGAAATATTCATGACTTTCTGGTACACAGTTAGTTTTTAGTTCATCTTTATTGTCCATAAAAGCATTTTGTTGTGGTGACATATTTATTTTATGGACACTGCACATGCTTTATGTTTGAGTCTATCTGATTACACTGTTAAGGCTCTGACACTGACCACAGCATTTATTCCTGTTGACTCACGCAGAGGTGGAGCATGCCACGGTCACAACCAGGATCATCTCTAAGATCAAGACCAAAGGGGCTGTGGGAATCGCCCTCACCTTTTTTGGCACTTCCTTCCTCTTCATCACATCTCATTTTACCTGTGAGTAGTTTCCCAGAAAGTCGGAGAGGCCGCAGACTGAAGCAGTGATTTATTATACCAAGATAGGTAGATAGATAGATAGGACCAGTTGGAGAGTTGTACTAAAGTCTTCTAATTTCTGATTCTGCTTCCAGCCGGAGATGCCAAAGTTTACGAGAGAGTACTAGATTACAACAAGATCATCGAGGCTCTAGCTCTTCCCAAAGGCCTTCCAGACACCAACCCATATCGCTCCACAGCATGTAAGACTCTCTCATCTTGTGGGAAAGACGTGAATCAAAACAACTAGGACGGAGTCGTCTCAACACGATCAAACTTTAACAGATTAACCCGCAGCAGTCAGCCTCATATTGTGGGTTGAAATATCTTGTGGAACATTCTGGAAACGGGATAAATAATATTTTACTCATTCGTCATTTTCAAAAGACAAATGTGACTTAAACACGGTATTCCTTCACTGGATTCTTGTCAGTTCACAAATGATGCATCTCTGCACAAATTGCTACTTCTTTTTCCCAAATAGGTTTTTAGCTGTAGCAATTCAAACCCATTCTTTGACCCTGCTGTTGACTGCAGAATAAAATGTATTGTTGTTCGGTACTTAGTTTCAAGCCTCGGTGTTGATAAGAATAATGGCTGGCAGTCTGATGATCACAGGATGTACTTTTTAATTGTAGCTGACGTCACCACAAGATTCGACCAGGTTTTCTGGTGTGGAGATTTTAACTTCCGGCTGTGCAAAGACCGGGTCGACGTGGAGGCCATCATGAACCGCACAGTGGGCGGAGACATGGGCCCTCTGTTGGAGCATGACCAGCTCTCCAAGGAGATGAAGGACGGTATGCTTGCATGTTCTCTGTGAAAACATTTCTAAAAGTTTATAGAAGTAGGTCGATGTGTGTTTGATTGATTCTCACCGTGCGAATGTGCTGGTTTGTACCTTCCAGGTTCAATCTTTAAAGGTTTCCAAGAGGCACCGATACACTTCCTCCCCACGTACAAGTTTGACATCGGCTGTGATATCTACGACACAACTTCTAAACAGAGAACGCCTTCGTACACAGTAAGAAAAAAGAAAGAATATCAAGCCTCCATAATAAGCCAAACATTCAGCATATTGTGGCTCTCAGCCGGGTTAAACCTCTCCGTGCACGTTCACAGGACAGGATCTTGTTCAGGAGCCGGCAGGCTGATGACATAAAAGTGGTCAAGTACACCAGCTGCTCCAGCATCAAGGCCTCAGACCACCGGCCCGTCGTCAGCGTCTTCCAGGTCAAACTCAGGCCAGGCAGAGACAAGTGAGTCCCACTGACCGTCATTTTATTTTGACTTCATAAGTCAGGTGTGTATCATTTGTTTGTGTTGTTTAGTATTCCACTGGGTGCGGGACAGTTCGACAGAGAAGTGTACTTGGAGGGCATCAGGAGGAGGATCACCAGAGAGCTGAAGAGGAAGGAGGCCATGAAGAACCAAAGCAGCAGCAGCAGCAGCATCTGCACCATCTCCTGAACCCTTAAAAACAAACTCTCCAGTCCGGAGTGGGTTGAACTGTGCCAGAAACTGGAATGTAAAACCAGGCGGGGGGAACAAAGGACCAAAAGGAAACCAGAGTTGTCTTAACTACACAGAGCCCAGTGCTGGTTGTGACTGAGCAGAGTGCGCCCTGTTGGTCATTGTTGGGAACTGTCTGTGTGTGGCTGTACCTGAGAGCAGGGACCTTGAGGTCAGACACAGAGGTTTGCAGACTCAGTCTGGCCTTTATTTATTCAGCCCCCCTCCACTCAAACATGACGACTGAAGGGGGGGGTGGGGGCTGCTGCCGTCGTGGCTTACTCTTCAGTCACATGCTCCGGTGTGCACTGATCTAACCTTAAAGGCTCCGTTACTGCATTCGTTCTCCAATTTTCTTTTTTTTTTTAGGTGTTTCTGAAGCATCAGGAACCACGATGTTACGTTTTCCTGTTTTCAGATGCCTTGTGAATTTGTCATCAAATATAAACGTAAAATGAATACAAACAATTGCATTTGGTGGCACATTGAGGTGCACTTTTTAAATAGAATTTCGGCGTCTGCCATTGGTCGATTTTGACTTGAATTTAGTTCTAAGCTTGTTTTGTAGGAGGGAGACGATATACGCCTGAGCACTTCAGTCAGGAGGTTGTTACTTGTTACACGCTACTGTTGAATTTCAGGAAGAACAAATGTATTTGATAGCTTATATTTAACTATTTCGCAGGAACTCACAAACTATAAAAACGCCTGTCACTACCTTTTCTCTTATGGGGCCAAGTGATCCTTTTCAACTTTAACTGTAACTCGATGCCTTACCTTTCATCTCCAGTTTACATGTACTGTATGTAAATTACCATTTTAATGAATACTGCATTCCCAGCATGAAGAATAGTCTGCTCTATAAAGTGCCTGTCAGTGTTGTTTTTATTTCCATAAGACCTTTTAACTATCTGCATATTTTTATAAGTCACTCTAATGTAACATCACAAAATAAAAGTTTGAAAACTGACTTTGTTTGTTGGCTAAATTTTGTACAAAACTATTTATTTATCCTGTTGATATATATTTTAATTTGAAAGGGCATCTACACAACCACAAAATACAAAATAATTACAGTTTTCAATCTCTTTACACTCACTGATACACGACGACAGAACACATGACTTCAGTGTGGAGGACTAATTGGCTAGTTGTGAGGTTTCTCACATTTATCCCTAAAAAAAACTCCAAGGATTTCTTTATTCATATTTCAACCATCACTTTGTGTAGATATCCTACGTTTGTGAAGAGACGGCTCAAGGTGCAGCTCTGAAATGTTTATGGAGCCGAGAAAAACAATACAGCTCAATAAAACCAGTCGAGACACTGCTGGGCATGTTAGCCGCTCCCTTCTCTTGCTTATATGCTACTTTACCTTCCCACTACAGGTGTCATTCATTCATAAACTTAAACATAACAGGTTGGTATTGGGGTTTTGAAATGGAAAAAATAACACTTACATTTTGGCTTTTGGGGCGAATTGTTCCTTCAAAACCAAACTCCTGCAAACCACCCCAGTAAATAATGAAATGAGGCTTTCCTGCCCACAATCAATAAATACAGATACTCCAACTGTAGTTAGACAAAAGGTTACCGGAGAGTAAAATGTAACGTTTCCTTTACAATCACCCCTCTCAGAGGTACAGCCGGGAGCCCGGGTATTAGTCCCCTCCCAGAGCGAGCTGTATCGAGTCCTGTGATGGGAGGGAACACTAGTGTAATCTTCCAGTCCAGTATATTTACAGCGATGACTATCGGAAGAGGCGGTACATGCGGGGCAGACGTCCGTCCTTGCTGGACAGGGCTGCCTGGATGTGTTCGTACGAGGGCAGCTCCGTCAGGTCGCCCAGAGCTGCTACTGCGGGCTTACTGCGCAGCATCTTGGTGGTCACTCTCTTAATGTCACTGGCTGTCACGTTGCCTAGAAATTAGTAGTGGACAAGTCAAAAAGAGAAATAAAACAAGTAGCTCTAACAGGCATTTTAAGAGCGCTGAATTCTGGTCAGTACTCACTTATTAGATCACACAGTTCGTGTGGCAGCTTTCTCTTTCCTGTAGAGAGAACCTGGCGGCCAACATCTTCAAAAATAACCGGCCTCGACTCGAGGTTCATCATCAACATGGACTTGAGCTGAGTCTTGGCCCTCTCCAGCTCCATCTGGACATACGGGGGAGATGAGAATGAGGAGAAAAAATGCTCCAAGAATGGTTCACCTCCATTGTTTCATTGATCAATATCGCTTAAGTTGTGGTGGCCATTACCTCTCCTGCGCTGCCTGCCATCTGAATGAACTCTCTGGTTATTATCTCCACCATTTCCCGCACCTGGAGACGAATGCAACGATAAGAACACGAACATCACAAAAGACCATATAAATAAACATTCACAACAGGAAGCCATGTGCAAGTTTTGAAAACAGAACAATTTGTCACCACGTTTTGAAGGGATATCTGCAGCAATTTAACTGTGATTGGTAATAAAAAGTCCTATTTGGTTCAAAGGGACAATAAGACATTTGAACGCTGCTGTGCTGAACCGGTACCAACCTGTCTGGGGTCTGCACTGGCATGGATACACAGCAGACCACTGTCCTCATAGCTGTGATGGTAGGCGGTGGCATTGTACATCCAATGATGCCTACAACGGACAAGGAAAACCACAAGACCATTAGTGAAACTGACTGTTTATATTAGTGAGTTAACAATTAGAGACGTTCCTCACTACTAAATGTCCTTGACGTTTAAAAAGAAAGATTAAACGTAGAGCAGTAGACTAGTTTAAAAGTTAGAAAACACTCAAAATTGAGCACAATTTAATCTATAACATGTAGTATATACTAGCCATTTGAAATCACATTTTTTAACAACCAAAACTGTATATTAAATGCTGCTGACATCAATGCTTATCTCATCCGGACACCCAGTAAGAATGCAGCTCATGAACCCGGTGTGTGGTGCAATATTTGATAAAACGTCAGCGGGGGGTGTGGTCTAAGAAGAGTCACCACTTCGTTAATACGCTAGGCCGCTAGCTTGAGTCTGTAGCATACATGCTAGCCAGCTAGCTAGCTGGTAAGCTAGTTTTAGTCAGGTGACAACATCCGGTACCATCAAGGGAAGCCAATGCGGAAGTGTCTGAAACCATGCATTCTCTCCACTGACCAGCAGGGGACGACTCCTCCGGTTGAAAGAAGAAGTCCAATTGTATGGAAGTCAATGAGAAAATGTCTACTTCTCACATGATATATTGCCTCATTGTGAACATGAGTTTATGTTCTCAAGCGCTGCTGCAGGAAGTGCAGAGGCACTCCACAGCAACAGCTGAGACAGCACATACAAATATCTAATTAAAATAAGCTTAATTAACCTACTAGTATTTCTGGTGGCGACTAGCGAGGGTAGCAACGTTTAATCGACTAGTCACGTTGATGTTTGTGAGACGCTCACCTGTTGAGCACGTTCAGGTAAAGGCGGGTGAACATGCCTTTCCCGGGTCCTCCTGCCGAAAAGGAGCCACCTCCACCCATCATCATGTTGAGCACCGCGAACGGGATGAAGTCGTCCTCCTGCGAAGAGAAAACTTGTCTTTAATATTTGGGCGCTTGTAGCCAACATGTATCAGCCCCCCCGAGTTGAGACTCTTCAGGACAGCCAGGCACCGTGATCACCCACAAGGAAGGAGCAGCTCTCCAGGCCGATCATGATGTGGGTGAGCTCTGGGATTGGGGTGGGGCCGAGGCTCACATCCGACATATCCTTCTCCATCTAACAGCATAAAAGAAGAGGTTATTATCCTTCTAGACGAACTGTATTACCCTCAAATAAGCAGCAGATACAACAGATGCCAAAACGAGGTTTCCCTGAAGACAACATACAGGACCATATCAGGTACAAATAATAAAAACCAACCTTAACGATGCCACCAGTGTACTGAGCCACAGAGAGGTCCACGTTGGCCACTGCAGTTGCTCCCCACACCGGCTTCGCACCCAGCAGGTACTTCCTGGCACATTCAACCAGCTGCTCGTGCTCGATGCCCACGCCGGCCAGCACCATCCGCTCGGGACAGTAGTAGTTACGCAGGTAGTCGTGGAGCGCGCTCTTGTCGATCTTGTCCACGTTGTCTACGGGACAGAAGCGAGGCAGTCCGACCGTGTTGCCTCGATATGCGGCCTGGAAACAAACAATGAACAATACTCTTAGAACTTTTTCATAGTTCTAAGAACTGCCGTTTTTATTGTGTCCACACCGCAAGGACTATGAGCGGTTGTGGTTCTCAGAGAGCTGTTTTAACTCCTGCTTCAGAGTAGATACTGTCCCATCACAAGAGGAACCATGAGTGACAGAACTAACTTGTTTTTAGTAATACCAATAACAGTCTTGGTGCTTAAAAGTCCGGGATAAATGTGTTTGCTGTCTCACAGGGCGCTGCTGCTGGAGGGTTTAAACAAACGATGAGACTCACAGCGTGGATCATCTCAGTGAGTAAAGGTTCAGGGTCTGGCCTCATGCTCAGATCTTCCAACTCAAAGCGTACGGCCATTCTGGTCATCTCGATCTCGTCATCTGCAGTAGACGAACACTGACAATCTCAGGCCGGCAGGAGACACACAGACACTCGGCACAGTTGCCGCTGATTTGTAAGTTGAGTTAAGTTAAGAAGAGAAGATAGTAATACTAATACATAATAACAAAAATGAAAATGAATACTTAATACTAACACCAGTAACAGGGTGAAGAGTGGACTTACCCAGCAGGCGAGGATGTAGAACAGCATCAGAGAGAAGACTGACCACCGTGTCCAGACCCTTCACTTCAGCAGACACAGCGTACATGGTGGTATCCCTGCACATCAAAATGAGTCATGCATCACACGTACAACTGTATCGGCATACTCTCCAACAGAAGAAAGGCCCCGACAGAAAGGTAATAACACACAAACGTTAGTTTTATAACACAGACAGACATTGAGCTGAAAGACTACCTTGATGTTTGGCAGTCACATATCCCTCCGTGTTTTTCCAACGTGAGGAGGATTTCATCTTTACTGCCGTACTGAGCTGTGGACTACAGATTCAAAACGTCATCTCACATGCCTCAACATGCTTGACTTTTCTCTTTGTGGTCTTCACTGTGTTGTACTTACAGAAAAGGCGAGTTTCTCTACGAAGTGGCCTATCCCACTCGGGTACTTTGCTTCATGTCTGGATCCAGAATTTACTAAAACTAAAAAGAAGAAAGAGAACAAACACATTGTATCTACTTCAGCCAGATCCCAGAGACAAGTGGATAATATGAAGTGCATATAATAACTGCTGTAACTTACCTCCAACTGTGCAGAACTGACCAAACTTGTTTTGGGAAGCGACTTTGAGGCCATTTTCTAGAGTAGTGATCTTGGTCTCATATTTCTCCAGACCATCCCCAGATGCGAATACAGGTTTGGGGATCCCAGGCAGCGGTTCAGAGAGGGAGATATTTGGGTACCGGCCACCGCTGCTGTACTTTCTGTAAGCTGCGATCCCAAACCTTTGAGAAAAACAAAGCAATGTTCCTTTAATGTATTTCTAGCGACGTGAGGCCAGTTGTGAAAACAGTGTTTGAATCCATAACTTGAGCAAAGACAGAACAATAGTTTGAAACAATGCCTCAGGTCTTTGTCCCTAAACTGTGTTTTATTTCACTGTACATTTTGGACTTTTCCTACAGAAGATTAAAGAATTGTTAAAGGAATATACCTGGAATTTACATTTAACTTGTCAACCATCTGTACTTTTTATATTGTTGTGCATTTTTAAGTTGTGCTGTGCATTGCAGTCAAACATGTAACATAAAAAGGAATAAACACCAGTTTATTAGGCACACCTAGCTCAAACTAATGCCGTCTTGATAAGATATAATGTTGAGTTTGCGTTGAAACTGTTTCAGAGAGTTTATTATTGAACTGTATGGTCATGTTGAAGTCTTATACTGAGGAGCGTTTCTTCATATTTAGTCTAAAGTCTAAATAAATGGGGTGAACTACATTTTAGACAACCCTCTCAGTTGTAGTTATAATGAGAAGCACAACCTTGAAACAAATATCACCTCTTTAAAACGGTATCAATTAAAGTGTAATAAACGGTAAAAGCACAGCTACATCACCTACACAATGTAACGTCTTTATCTCGACAGCCCACCTCTAAACACCGGTGACTTTATTTACTCATGATGCAACATTAGCCATCCTAACAGCAAGACCACCGCTTCTTAGACGGCTAACACTTAGCATCGAGCTAATCGTGGTGAGGAGGACGTACAGAAGTTATGACGCTGCAGTTGTCAGGGAGAGATTTGACCCCGACAATACTGAATGTACCGCTGATGTTGTTTCCCTGTTTTTAACTCGAGTCTGGCGCTGACTTAAGAGCATTTATTTTAAAAAACAAATCTACCTTTGAACACGACTCCAGGTTCTACATCTCGACATGTGAGTCGCCATCTTAGATCCTCTGTGACCAGACAGTAACCCGGATGATGATAAAAAGTTTCCTGAAGCACTTCCGCCGCAAACTACCCCCTACCCTTTCTGACTGTAAAGCACAAACAAACAGCTATATTTATTATTTCGTTTGACGATATATTTTGCTGTTTTATAACCTTAACGAGTACTTTAGAGAATTGTATTTGTAAATGGTTAAAATGTATTGATTTTAATAAAATCTACCTACATCAACCAAACATCAGACTTAACACAGATTCTGACCTAAACGTGATAAAAGTGACAAAACAATCTACATAAAAGATCAAATATTGATCTCAGTGAGCAGCAGAGTTGATGTGAACCAGACAAATGCTGCTTCAAACTGTAACACATCTCATGTTTTCATCCGCTGTCTGTTTTTAAACGCAGTCTGATCGCTTCTGTGGGTTGGTAACAAACTCAAAGCTGTCCTGTGATTATAGCTCAGTGCCAAAACACAACATGATAGTGGAGGTACATGACTCAAGTCCCAGCTACAACCAGGTACAGTAGCTTATTAGTAACAGTTCGTAAGTGCTGACACAAAGAAATAGCTGTATGTTCACACTCTAAATTCCTGCTTTTATATATAAATATATATATATGCATACCCCTTGGTCTTCCTCATGCTTTGTGTCACTTTACGATTGGCTGATGGGAAAATAGTGTGCTTACTGAAAGCTGCTTGCAAAGATGAAAGTTGAATAACCCTTAAAAACGACTCTGTGTCTTTGGGCTCTGGGATCCAAAACAGAACAATTGATCCTTTAGAGTGGTCTGCAGGCCAGGAGCATTTAGCTACACATCACTGAATCAATTCTGACACCAAAGTAGGCCAGCTCTAACATAATGTCACCACTTCCACCTGATTTTAAAACATTCAAGAGCTGCAGTATTTAACAGGACATTGACAAACAGCAGATTTGACTAACTAAGTGAATGACATCCCATTAGTACCACAATGTTCTCCATCTTGCAAGCCAGCACAGTTTTATGGTTGATTTCTCAGCTTTCACGCTGCAGCTCAGCCTATGAGCTCCAGGATACCATCCACACTCTGAAAGAAGAGAACCTCCACCTGCAGCACCGACTGGAGAACCTCACCCGGGCTCTCAGGGACTTGAAACATCTGCTGACAGGTAACAGCTGAGAGCTATCTTGTTATTGAATTTTAAATTAGTAAATTGTCAGAATGAATAGCAATTTGTTTCTCATTCAACGCAGTTTCTGATGGAGAACGTGGCGCTGAATTCCTGCACGTCTGGAAGGAATGGTCCCAACACGGTGAGGTGAAGTTTGACATTATGGAGCAGACCCGGTTTTGGTGGGTTACATTTGTCTTTATCTTTTCCAGGCATTAGTGCCGAGACTCACCAAATGTTGGAGCAGGCCCTCTGTTTAAACTGAGCTCCATGGAGCTGCCAAACCCACCTCCATCACTTCGGGATTCCTCCTCCTCCTCTCACCTTTTGTCTCTATGAATCTCCTGCTGCTGTCCTGACTCCGAAACGCCGACATCGTTCAACACCTCCACCTGGATATCAGTGTCTCTATTAGGAAAGTATTTGTAAATGTAATTATTATCCTACAATTAATAAATGAAATGCAGGACGACTTTTTTTAAATAGGCCACTGAGGTCTTTTTTTTGACCTTTTCAGTCGTATCCGCTGTAAATGTTCTCTCTCTCTTTTCTAAACTGTCGGTTATGCAATTGTGGTCGAAAATAAATCTTTTTAACTCCTGTCTTTTGTTAAGATTGGCTTTACTTCCTCATTGTTTGCGATCATATGTTCATATGTCACAAGGATTCAGGCCAGAGGTAGCATATCAACAGTTACTTCTGTAGCCAATGGTCTTTACCACAAAGAAACCTCTTCTAACATCTACGTTAAACTGTGCTCTCATACAGATTATTTCTGGAGAACTGCTACACCTCCTTTGGTAGATTTATGTGTTTGATGTTGTCCTGAATCCAACAATGTTGCATTTCGCCTGCTAAATCAGTCTTTGTCTGCTTAATTAAAATGACCCCTCCTGCATAGATTATAAATCGGTGCATTTGTACTTTCATTTCCATTTGATTATGCTGAATGGATCGTCAATTTACATTTGCAAGGACTTCATCTGGCCCCAGTAGACATGTGGCAAGACTGCAGTGTCTTAGCTGCAGCCAAGCATGTGAATAAATGAGACAGAAGCCGCTGCATGCATCTGTTTCTTCATGTACTCATCTCCCCTTTTAACATAAGACATCACTTTATGGTTGAAACAAGACTCAGAGTCGACACTCATGCCAACAGCTCTGTGAGTCTGTACTTAGGTACAGTGATATTTTCAGCTAAATGCTAACATCAGCATGCTAACATGCTCACAATGACAAAACTAGCATGTTTACCATGTTTACTGTCCTACTTTGCAGACTAAAGTTTGCTCATTATCAAACACAAAGTCCAACGGATGCTGAAGTGAATGTCATCAGTTTTTCAGGTGTTTAATCATAAAATACAGTATTGTGAATTAAGATTTTGACCTAAAGATGGTGATAGATGAGAAGTCACAGCATCATCAAGGTTGTTACAGTTCATCCTGAGGGGGATATGAATGTTTGTACCATATTTCATAACAAACAGTGACGTTTCACTATTGTAATTGTATAAAAGGATAATCATATAAACCTATGTAGACACTAATCGTTTTTCTTTTTGTTCCTTTGTTGTTGTTTTTCTCCCTTACATGTGAGTGGTGGGAAGAGGCGGGTAATGTTCCTGTGTCGTTAACTGCTTCAATGTGTTGTCTCTTTTCTTTCTGAGAAAGTTATAAATAAGTATAAAGTTATAAACATTTACCTCTGAGCACCAACATCTATTCAGTTTATCCTTGAGTCCAAACAGGACATTTGTGCCAAATTTGAGTAAATTCCCTTTCAGAGAATCCCGAGATATTGCGTTTAAGCAAATGGGACGGACTCCCAGAAAACATAATACCTTCGTCCACGGTTATTGCTGGCACGGTGGAGTGAAAAGGAAAGTCGGGGAATGACCCAAATTATTAAGATTCATCATCTATACTAAATTGTGTGTGTTTAAACTCCATCTGCTGATGCAGATTGTGTGATAGGGTACCATCAAAGCTCAAGAACAAGCGAAGGGGCCCTCAAGCTGAAACTTTCTTGACAGATGTACTTTGTATTAAATCAACCTCATCTGGTTTAAGAAAACGATAATCTGAATATGAGTTGAGTCACATCTTTTGTAGTCGCGCTAAAGAGCCACCTCCCTAAATGCTTGTCCTCAGTTTCTCTTCATTGATTGAGTGTTGCAGCAGCAGTCATTATTATCCCCCATTAACCTACATTTAAGAGCAAACAGATAAACTAGCACTTACACATTAAACTGACAAATCTGCTGAGGTGTAGATCAATGAATGAAGTTGGAATATAGGTCTGTTCCAACATCAGATTGAAAGATGTACACTTTTTGTGGAAAACCTTCTGAGAACAGCGGAGGTTATAGCAGCAGATGAACGGCCAGAGTTCTAGAACGATGTGTTCAACAATCACATATGGGTGTTATCTTAGTAGGTCTATATGCAGATAAACATTTTATAGTACCGTGCTTCTTCACTCACAGTCAGTGGACTTTTTAATTTACTGTTTTGTGTGGATTGTGTAGTGTTTTATCATTTTTGCTTCTGTTTAATTTCTAAATAATGAGTATGCACGTAATGGTTTTGTGCTTCATTACAAGCTGTTGTCTTTTAATGAGAATTCACAGTGTTTGTGTGTGTGGGTGTGGGTGTGTATGAAAGGAGGGAGTGGAGGTCGTCTACTACATGCGTGTGGCTGTTCTCTCCCAGCTGGAAGCTCTGCAAATGCATCAGGACAACAGAGGTTGTGCTCACACTACAGACAGACAGACACTGACTGAAGACGAATGGGCTGATTGCAAAGCAACACAGAAAAAAATTCTTGGACACGTGCAGAGTAAGTATCAATACTCTCAATGGTCCTTCAATGGAGTGGATGAAAATGTGTTGCAACATGAACATCTTGTGAATCTTGTCTTATATTTAGTCCGAAGTGCTTTTTTTTTGACTGCTTGTACCTTTACACTGATTATTCAGTGTAGTGTGTTGTGTTTATTCAGCTGTTAACATTTCTCGTTTTCATATCATATGCAAATTAGGCTCTCATCTAGTTTCTGAGGGCACCGTACAGTATTGTTTTTGCACAGCATGCACTAAACCAGCATAGAAACCAGCACTGAATGTGTATTTCTCTTGTTTATCTGTTGAATGCATGCAAGCAGTTTACTTTGCTAAATTCATCTGGTAGTTGTAGTAAGGATGATGATCAGGATGATGATAAAAGAGAGTGCAAACCAACAATGGTTGTATTGTTTCCAAATGCTTTTTCTGGCCACACATTGGCGATAAAACTAACCAAAGAAAATAATTGCATGCTATACAAGATGGAGTAATTCAAATCATAGGTTGTGTACTATTAGCAAATACAAATAACAGTATAAATGACCAAATAACATATCTTTTGGTGAATACATGCAGCAGTGCCACATTTAAATGCAACTTACAAGGAAAAGCAATTTAGACAACATTACTTTTTGTCAATGTTGCTCTGAAAACAAGCCAAAATCAAAAGCAAATGCTTCAATGAATTGTTTTTATGTCACTTAAGCTCCGCATTGAAAGCAAACTATGAACGGAGATCTGATTTTAAATAATTACAAATAGAAGAATTTCAGCTTTATAGTTGAAAAATACTCTAATGCAGGCAAAATGAAATGTAATCACTGCCCCACAATCATTTCAGGTGCTGGGTATGAGGTTTAGATTATAAATTATAACTCCAGATTATCGACCACTTGATCTGAAGTGATGCATTCAGCTCATTCACTGCAGCTACAGCCCATTTTAGTCCCGTTTACAGGCAACCACTTCCTTATAAGTACCTGCCAGACTTTCATTTTTTTCTATTATTTCTGCATTATTTGAGGAGGAAAACGACATTTGGAGAAATGCAACAATGTGCTACACAAAGTTAAGTTTTGGCACCTGATCTGTATCACACAGTACAAATGTGGGTTGCATACTAATTCAACATCTCCACTCATTGTTTTATTTAATTTAGAGATTAAGTAAATAAATAATATTATGCCTTTGACACTCTGTATTAAAAGAAAGAGCGTAAGAGTCAGCGTGTGGGCTAAAAACACAATAATGACATGCTAAACTGTGTAAATGATCTGTTATGAGACAAACAAACACACACCCACAGGCTCTCAGCATTATGTGAGTTTAACCAGCCGCTGAACCAATTAAAGTGATTCATTGATGTGTTTAGTTCAACAGTGATGACTAATGTACTAGTGTCTGAAATCAAGGTTTTTTGTTTTTTGTTTGTTTCGTTTTCATTTGTTCACTGGTGGGATTTACACATTATCACATCCTTTGATTTATTTTGTTCTCTAAAAGCAGCAGGGCCAGGGGACAATTATAAAATAAAAGGTGATATTTGTTTTTCTAAACCTTATATTGATAATATGATGCTTTCGTTGGTACGATTGTAATAATTTAATACAATTTTAGTCCAATCGAGGGGTGGATGATACATTGTTTATTCATTCATATTTTGAAAAACGTATTTAAGTATTCAAGACCAGTAGAAGACAATTAAGTTTTATATTAGTATGACCAGCAGATTTCCACACAATAAGTACGTTTCTATCCACGTCAATGCCAGAGCGAGAAAAAAAGTTGAAATATCAAAAACAAAACATCAGATAGAAACAGTAACTTTCCTGAAATTAAATCAGGAGGCAAAAATAAATGCAGAATTGTCATCGTGTCTTCAACATTGTTTCCAACCGATTGAGGTTTAGCTGGCACTCTTGTAATCATGCCATCTTGTCCATCTTGCCCTCTTCTTCCGCAATAATTTAGCGGCACTATACTGGAGATTTAGCGCCAACAGCTGCTTATCTACTCCTTATATTTGCACATAGGGGATCAGAAGACACATTCATCTGCATTTTAAAAATGCGGCTACAACCTTCAGACAAAGGTTGTCTGTAAACCTTTTGATGATACAGTTTTTGCGAAACCTTCTAAATTGATCAATTTGATACAAAACATCTCTTTATGTTTCTCTCTGGTCTCTCTGTGCAGCGCTCACATTCTTGCAAAGCACACCGAACCCGTTAACCAAACATTCAGCTTTAACCCTTTAATCACGAATGAGCCTCTTGAGATCAAAATGTGTCTTCGGCATGTTTCCCGTCAATATCTCCTAATATTTACCTGTGCAAATTCAGCATTGCATTCACAAAATTTGTGGCACGCTCAAACAATAAAGGATCAGCCCTTACATGGCCTTATTGAGGATCATGAAAGCCTATGTGATCAGACGGGTAGCTTTCCTTGCAGAGGACCAATAACTGATCTTCATAGTACAAAGCTCCGCAGCCTCTTTTCATGTCACTTTCATTGAGTGGAGGGCCACAGTGGGAGCTCTATAATGTGGCTGGGCCCATTCAAGGGACTAAATAGGACAAAGCTGTGCTTGCTGCGGTGTCACAGACTCACAAACAAAATAGGAATGAAGCAAAGCGAAAAAAGGGAGGGGAGGGCATTAAGAGCACGAGGGAGAGTGATGTTGAATTCACCTGCTGAATACATTTGCTAGAAACTGATCAAAAGTGAATCTATGCATGCGGTGGTTGAAATGACAGCTGTTGTGGTAATGGTGCAGTGAGAGTTTATGAGAAAAATGAAGGATGAAGTCATATTGTATCACTGAAGAATATCTCTGAGACATTTTCACATATTTTTCTATCCTTCTGTGCACCTAAAATCACAAGGTTGACATTTGGGTAAATATACAACCAAAAGCTTTTTACTGTTGGGACTCAATCTTGGTCGGGTTGCAAACTGTTTTAATCTGCTAATCCGTTTTAAATTGACATGTCGACTTTTCTTTTTCAGATTGATACTAATATTTGTTTCCTTTGCAGTTCTGAATGTCATAAGCACGTTGTTTTTTACAACTAACAATACACTTTGGGATCATTTGAGCTTGTTTTGTGTGTAACACCGGGTCAAAACAACCTGGTCTCTCTTGAGAATGAGACCCCATGTCTCAATTCTCATTTTGGTCTCAATGACATGCCTGCATAAATAAAAGTCAAATAAAACAAAAACACATATTTTATTTTGGGTAAATAGCCCAACAAAAATACAAGCAATAACTCTAACTCTGAGTCAAAACGACCCAAGTAAACCCAGTATGCACTGGTGTTATATGTTGACCCAGTAATCTTTAAATTAATTTGACCAAAATATTTTTAAATGCTTCACAACAGAAGTATTTATGTTGAGCTTACCAGGATGCAGGGTTTTAAATACCACAGAGTTAAATGATATAAATGCTGTAGAGCGGATGAACAAGACTATACCATCAAAACAACATGACATGTACTTTCCAACTTGCTGAAACTGTGCGTTTTGCTTCTCTACCTCCTTGTCTGAAACTTAACCATATGCATGTTCATTACCTTGTGCATCTAACTACATGTTATAGACATGCTACAGGTGCTTCAGTTACCTGAGTAAGTCTGCATCAAATTCCAATACGACAAGGGTTGAAATTGACCACATTTACAACACAAACTCTTTTATGTGTGCACATTTTCAGCTGACACCATGGATGAAGCTGTGTGGTGGTTTCCTCAGGGAGCTCTGCAGTAGGATGCATGTCTCTGTCTCCATTTGGACGCTTCCACAGATGACTTCCCACCTCTGCCTACTCATCCTGTCCAGCTTGGCGGTCTCATCCAAACTGAGTGAGTCCATGAACTTTTTTTCATTGTAGGTTAGTCCAACCACTAGATGTTTGCTGTCCCTTAACATCATGCGTGGTGTCGACAGAATGATTCGTGGTCATCTGATTGTCTCTAACGTTCATGTTCTTGCTCATACTGCAGGTTTGGAGGATGTTTTCTTCAGTCCACAGGACCAGACAGTCAGAGAAGGAGAGGGAGTTTTCTTCCAGTGTGTGTCAGGGGAAAGTTCACCTCCTGCGAGCATCACCTGGCTCAAAGATGGAACACTGGTCACAAGAGGTAGACACATTCAGGTGAGCTCCTAATGACTGTCACCTCCTGCTCTCTGTCTCCTACAACACTCGGAGGGATCAAATAGTGCTAAAGACTTTTACTTGGACTTAATTTGTAGAGCAACCTATTTTGTAAAGGTACATTTGAAAACACAGCAGAACTATCACTAAGAGTGGTTATATCATCTTCACAAATTAACACAATTTTTATGATTTTTGAAGCCTAAATGCAATCATCAGAAGAAAAACACTTACATTAGATCATAAACGAAACACACCACAGTAACATGAGCTTTAGTGTCTCCAGGATTAGGGCGTCTTTATTACTTAACTAATTAGGTGTTTGATTACTCTTGAGTGTTTCAAACATAAACCAACGCTCCCTGACACTACAGTTCTTTTTGGTGGCTGGGAATAGCCAAAGTAAAGCAAAGTGAGAGAGGCAGCTCCAATGATGAAACCCCTTGTGCCTGTAGAGCTTGCACCCTAAACAAGACTGACTGAAATGTGTCAAGAATCCACAAGCCTCAGATAGCCTCTGAAAAACCTCATTAGAGGGCAAAGCCTGTGTGAAATACAGCACAAACTCCACTTGTCTCATCTTTTGTTTAATCAGGGCACAAAAAATTATGCAAATTGAAATATTATTGTACTTTTCGACCGAGATATATCATACGGCATGCTTTAAACTTAAAGTGGTTGTTGTTGTTGTTCAGGGTGAGTATGGAGGTGGTAACCAGAAGAAGACCTCAGGTACTCTGCATCTTTTCCACGTAACATTAGAGGACGACGGGATGTACGTATGTGTCACACACAGTCCTTCACTGAACATCAGCAAGAAAAGCAGCCCAGCCAAACTCACTGTGCAGAGTGAGTGCATGTACATCTTTTTGTTTTCCCTTTTACATTTGTCAGTTCATACCAGCAAATCACTTTGTTTCTGATTCATCAAATCAATGGAATCAAGAGAAATGATCCATTCCAAATTTAAGGACTTATATTCTGCATGTTTTTTAAGAGTCAGCACTCCATTAAAGGTCTCATTTGAATTGTACTTTCTGTTAATATCTTGAAGCGGTGTCACTCTACCTTGCAGGTGTCCCTAGAAGGCTGCAGATCATCCAGGGCCCTGACAACATCACTGTTGCTATGGGAATAGAGGTCTCCATGCACTGTGCCGTCCGTGGCTTCCCTGTTCCCATGGTGCACTGGTTCAAAGACGGCTACCTCCTGTCGAACCGCTCGTCCTCGTTCGGCCTCCAGAACAATGGACAGCTGCTCACATTCAGGTCCCACACTGCATGGGACAAGAGGAATATTAATTCTTTATTGTCAAATTGTAATGATGATACGAGAACTATGCACTGTAAAGAAAATGATGTAACAAGTTGTGATCCACGCTGTCTGGAGCTTTTATACTGCCAGATTGAATTTAAATGATAATTTCTGTCCGTCTTCACCAGGAACGTGACTAGGGAGAATGAGGGCTCGTATCACTGTGAAGCATCCAACCAGAGAGAGTCCATCAAGTCCCAGCCAGCCTCCCTACTTCCAGCCGGTACTGTGTGCCAACGTCTACAGTAAACTAAACCGTTTAACGTCTTTGATTCAGACTTTAATTGATGATTTTATGCTAAAATAGCATTTGTATTGTATTTGTGATTTTTTTTGTTCACAAAATATATGTACATTATGTGCAATATGCAAGTTATGTAGCAAAAATAAAACTTTAGGTAGTAGTGGGAAGTAGTTAATATCAAATAACAGTTTGCAACAATCTCTTTTTCAAATAGGGAAAGAAACACAAACTGAATCACAGATAGTACCTTAAATGAATGAGATTGATTTGGGGGCTTTAATAGCATAGTCATCTCAGGATTTTCTTCATTACTTTTACTCACAAAATATGAATCTTGGTGCTTGTGGTTCGATAGTGAAACTGTGAAAAGTACATACTCAGTCGAATCGTGACTCGTGTTTCCAGAAATGGACTGGAGTTTCATCCAGCAGCCCATCAACCTGACGGTGAAGAGCGGAGAAAATGTTACAGTCACCTGCAGGCCTCCATACAGCCGACCAGCAGCTCAGGTGTCCTGGTTCAAAAACAACCGACTTCTCGCCCCCACAGCTCACGGGACGGTGCTGCCCAGTGGAGACCTCTTCTTCCACAGGTTTGTGTGCATGTATGCATGTTTAAACTTTAAAGACATGCCATGTGTGCAGTTTAGTTTGTGAGTGCATGTGTTTGTCATTTTTCTTTTGTGTGCATTGTAGACAATATACTACATTACTGCTAATAAAGCTAATAATATATAACATTAGCGATTCTACAAGTGCGTGTCTTGACTTTTTTCTCTGCAGTGTACAGGAGTACGACAATGGGAGCTACTTCTGCAGGGCCTCCAACATCCACCTTCAAAGATTTATCACTTCCAGAAGAGCAACTCTGACTGTGCTGGGTATGACATCACGATATACCCACAATACTGCCTCACTGGTTACGCTTCAAACTGTTGCTTCATCTACATGTATAACAACGGTCATTGTTTTCTTCTCTTCCTGGAAGCCCCTCCATCAGTGAAAATGTGGCCCCAGGTTGTGACGGTGTCTGTGGGTGCTCGGGTGGTGCTGGAGTGTCAGGTGTCCGGTAACCCTTCACCCTCCATTAGCTGGATGAAGAGAGGCCACTCCAAGCAGACTGGAGGCAAGATCGTTTTGGGGTACGCTAATATGTTGTGGCTTTATTTAAAAGGAAAGACGGTTGATGATATTTTCTGTCTTGTAACCCTGTTTGCTCATCAGTGGTGGAAGAAGTACTCTTTCTTTACATAAGTAAAAGTAACAATACCAATGTAAATGTACTCTGTTACAAGTAAACGAAAAATGACATAGTATTACAGTATTACTAGTAAAATGTACTTTAAGGGGCAGTGTGTAGGATTTGGCATTGCAGTGAGGTTGCAGAATGCAACCAACTGAAACCGATGTGAAAAGGTGAAGAGCCAGTTTTAGTTTGTCCATTCTGGGCTACCGTAGAAACATGGCAGCCGGCTCCATGAAGATGAGAAGCGTAGATTAAAATGGCTCATTCTAAGGTAGCGAAAACACAACGATTCTTATTTTCAAGTGATTATAACCTAAAGAAAACAAATCTAATAATATAATTTTCCCTTCCTGTCAATAAATCCTCCTAAATACTCAATACTGTTTCTTTATAAGTATTAAAAGTTAAATTATTGACTCGCAAAATGGTCCCTTTCAGGGTGTTAGATTGTTCAGCTTTCAAGGTCCAAAAGATGACAAATATTTTTTTTACTTATTCAGACAAGATAATAAATTGTTCACAAGTTATTATTGTGTGCTACACGATTAAAAACGTTTTATTGTGGTGTTATTCTTTTAAGTGCATATCTACACAATACCAGATTTTCCTCTGAGACGTAGTGGAGTATAAGTACTTAAGAGTACCTCAAAACTACTTGAGTACAACACTTACTTTAAACCATGGTTGCTCACCAGCAAAACTACACAAAGTACTGTGACAGCTGTGTTATGACCATGTTCGTCTCTCTCATACAGATTGAGAAATGCCACTCTCTACATCCAGTCAGCCCGGAGCTATGATGAGGGAGTGTATGTGTGCGAGGCCTCCAACGCTCTGGGCCACAGCCGCAACACAGCAATGCTGAGAGTTGCTGGTAATTTGTAACACAAACTAATGTTAACACTTTAAGTGCGAGGAATATGCACTGTTTAAGGCTCATTGCTGCTCAGTACAGTATGTATGCAAATACAAACTAGGAGTGCAGACCACATGGATTGAACCATGATATGATGAAAGATGCTGTACACCAATCTAGAATTGTACCTTCAATAATCATTATTCCATATCCCAAAGACAATTGGGATATAGCATAATCTTACTGGTTTTGCAATAGGAATGTGGAGCGGTGTCTTATTTGGATTATATGATATTGGACCTCACAATCTCTTTAAAACGAATGTGACATGTACAAAAGTACATTTTGTCCACTAAACAAAGATCTAGTTGCACAAAATTGTATTTCCTTGCAAAAAAATGCTTGACACGTGTCACAAAAGTGTATTATATTCCACAAATTGGTACAATAATGATAATGTAATTATGTTAAAATAATGTTAATTGCATTTTCCTCATCTTATGGCACATAAAGCAGTACGTGAGGGTGCCTGTTTTGCCTAAAATGCATAATATGACTACATGTTTCTCTTTCCTCGTCCCAGTGAGTCCCATCATAGTGACCTTCGTAGGTCAGGTGAGCTGCAGGATCGGGGCTTCAGCGGTCTTGCCCTGCAGGGCTGTAGGTATTCTGCCCATCACCTATACCTGGACCAGGGGCAGAGAAGAGAGACAGTCCCCCATCAGCCTCAACGAAGACAGACACATTGATGGTGAGTCCAAAGTGTCACTGGAGCTGTTTTATTTTCATCAGGTTCTCATTGGAAGTTGTTATCAGCAGCAAAAAAATGTACTTTAATCTACGGATACCATAACCGGATGTGATTTATGACTTGTTATCTTATGGTCCGTGCAGAAAATGGAAGTCTTCACATTTCCAGTGTGCAGTATTCTGATGTAGGGGAATATTACTGTACTGCTGAGAATCGAGCAGGACGACATCAGAGACGCAGCATGCTCGCTGTTACAGGTATGTCGAAATCTGCTCATCATAAAACCTGTTATTTCTCCATCATCGGCAGAGTGACAAATACCAAACATTATTAAAAATATACATGCAAATGTTGTCTTATTATCACAGTATATTCAGAGAGAGAGAGAGAGAGAGAGAGAGAGAGTGTGTGTGTGTGTGTGTGTGTGCTGTCTTTACATGGGGATTTGTTTACATTTACTGTGAGGCAAACAACTTAAAGTACATTGTAATACCACAAGCTGCTTCCTTGAACCCATATACAATCTTGCTGATTGTCTTTCATGCTGTCCTCTGTCCTAAGCTGAACATCGTCCAGCTGATAGAGGCAAGCAGACAAGACTGGTTTTGTCTGCTGTGAGTAAACCTCTGCTGTGGCTTATGTGGTGACACTGTTTGGCTCTCAGATCAGCATGGTTTCTGTCCAGAAGCTGTAAATGATTATTTAATGTCTTTGCTCTTTACAACGTTACATGTGGTGACTTTTCATTGTCAATGGCTGACGTCGCTGCTCTGATATTTGTGGCATATAACCTGCCTTTTACTTGTTTTGTGGCTTAGTTCATTTCTGATTGTGTCAAACGCTACACCTGTCCTGGAACTAAGAGTCTTTCATATTTTCTAGAGCACCATCACGAGCAAAGACTTGCCTGCTTCCCAATCCAGAGACTCTTTGGCTGAGCCACACCTTGGGACAACACACCATCCACATGTACAGACACAGCATGAGGAGGCCACGTGTATGTAGTTCAAGAAAAACTTCTATAGGTTATGATAACTTTGTACTCATCAAAGTAAGTGCTGAGATATTGTAACCATATCAAGAAAATAGGAACAACAGCGAACAGTCAGGTTGAAAAGAAGCCTTCATGTTATTCATATTTATCTTAAAGCAAAAAGAAAGGCAAACGATAAAATTGCAACCCAAATTGTCTCGGCCCTACGTCCTACACCAGGTGAGGGTTGCTTGACTGATGGAGACAAAAGAAGGCATCTGTGAAGCCAACACTAACCTGCTGCATTCACATGGAATCAGGCAGACGGGAAACCTTATATCATGTTAGTTGAAGAGAGCAGGGTGGTGAAGTAAGGTTAGACCGGCAAGCAATGTCGGCCAACGCTTTTGCCGTCCTTAGCGACAGACTTTATAACTGGGACGTTACGATAACTCCCTCACTCAAGGAGAAAGTTGTTTAAGTTTGCAATAGAATATTAACAGAAAGCTGCATTTTATAGCTACATGCATTACTAGAATAATTAATTTCCCCATTGGATCAGTTTTTAGCAATGTTGCTGTGCGATTGAGCCATTACATTGGTGAGTTTGATGCTAACCAACAGAACTGATGTTTGGAGTTACAGAATCAAAACATATTTTACTTTTTTCTCTCCATTTCCAGGTTCCTTATCACACTGTGATGCTACAACAAACAGAGCCACCACACTGTCTATATTTTCAAGAGGAGCAGTGGCTGAGCTCAAGATGCCTACGCTACGATCACTCGGCCATCTTTTAAAGCACCGCCTGAATCAGCCAACGACCAATCCAACCCAGCCGTTAGTCACACAGATGCAGCCTCCAATGTTGCCACCTCCTCCACATCCAAACTTCCAGTCAGTAGATCTCCACTCCCAACCGCCATTGACTAGTGATCCTCTTTTGATTTCAAATAGTGAGCCACCAGTAACACACAGTCAGACATCAGTAGTCACTAGGGGAGTTTTGAGTACAACCCTTCAGGATATACTCACTGAAAGTCAATCCCATTTGGCATTAACATCATCACGTACACAATTTCAGCATAAAGTCAGTGACGGATTGTTGGTAGAGCCTGATTCTCAGGGCTCTAATATCCGTGCTGTGTCTCTAGCCAGTCGACTCATAGAGCCCTTCACTGAGACGTCAAGCGCTCCAATGGATAGACCCTTTGGCTTTCTTAAGTTAGATTTGTATTCGCCGACTCCAACACAGAGTCTAGCAACCCAAACTAAGACGAGCCAGTCTAGTTCAATCACCCAGTTGTCTGCTTTTCAAGCTGAACTGCACCAAACTCAAACTCACCAGCTGGTTACAAAAAGTACAATTTACCAATCCGTCCGTGAGCCAACCTCAACCCAGATTTCTCAGACCAAATTCGATCACCAAGGTCAACGTCTACACCTGGACACACACCTGCAGCCTTCACCAACTCTCTCACAAATATCTCAATCTGATCCTAAACAGACATTCACTCAAAGTCTTCTTCCGAAGTTCCATCTTGAGCTATCGACAAACCCACATCATCTGCCTTCCACACAACTTCCACCGTCTTTAGTTATAAAGCCTCAACAATCCCAAATTTACAGTGAACCTTCGCCCGCCCTACCTAAACCAGCTAAAACCATGTCTACACTTCCTCGATCATCTCCAACACAACATCCACTGCTCCACTCACAAGCTTATCCACCTCAGACAGAAACCTTTCCACCCCAGAACAGAAACCCTCTTAAAATCCAGCCTTCAATCTCAACCGCCCATCAGACCTCCGATCCTTCAAAGCTGGGCCCTGACATTCCTGTTGTCCATCAGGTCAATATGTCTGATAAGGTACAGCTAAATACTAGCCAGAAAGGTGACCCAGGTCAGGAAGCTAAATCAGCCAATGACACGGAGCTTACAGAGTGGCTGAAGAGGAACACCTCCCAATCACCTATGACCAGCAATGATCAAAGGTAGGTCAAAATATGATATGGTGGAGTGATAGATATTGTGAAGAAGAAAAAACAGAAATATTTCAGTTAAGTTTTGTGTTCCACACAGAGTAACGCAGCAGTCTCCGTCATGGTTGCCCATGCTGGAGAAACATGACATTCCCATTGTGGTGGGAGTGGGTGTATCTCTGGCCTTCATCTTCATCACTGTTACCTTCTATTCAGTGGTCCAGAAGAACGAATCTGCACCAACAAGCCGAGCAGGTCAGAGATCCTCAGCCACATCAAATGTCAGCACAACTATTTCACATTCTGAACATGGTAAACTTCGGAAAAAAAAATCATTACTATTCAAGGAATAGTTTAACATTTTGGGTTATATGCTTTTTCGCTTTAGGGCGGAGAGTTAGATAAGAAGATTGATACCACTCTCATGTCTGATTGTAGAAAGAAGAGCCTCACCTATTTTAGACATCAAAGTCTGTTTACAGCTTTTGGGGAATACTACTGCAGTTGTGAATTTGTATAAAGACTTTTGCAGGCGGCAACCTCCGATTCTGAAAAGTTAAGCCAATTCGGAAGTTCCTTAAACGTGCATTCTCTCTACTGGCCATCGGCTTTCTGTCCATAGTAAGTCTAACAATTTGTGTGCCAAGCTATGAGCTGCTTATATGTAATAGACAAGTATTAGAGTGGTGTCAATCTTCTCTCCACCGGAAAGCGAATAAAGCATATTTACCAAAATGTCAAACTATTGCTTTAAAATTTAAATTTCCTTGACAGCTCCGAGGAACGTAGACATTCCCATACGACAAACTGAATGTCGAGCTGCAGGACGTACGTATGAAAACAGGTAAATACACTAATACAGGACAAAGAAATGCATGACACAAGGTCTCGCAAAATATCTTTCTGTCTCTTTGTAAAAGATGCAGGAACCTAGAGTGTTTTGTGTCTTGCACAGAGCTTTTGAAGACGATGATTGCATGGCAGTGATTGAGCAGAGCCCCAACACATCAGACACCAAAGCCCGACCTCCAGGGCCGAGCCTGGTCACGGTGCAGATGGAGCCTACATTTGAGGATCTTCAGGAGGACACACAGCTGGCTCTGGACAATCATTTAGTCACCGTAGAGACTTATCCTGAGCCCATTCTTGACACAAAGGTTTGATTACACAGAAACACATTTTAAGAGGATTGTCGGTCCTCAGGGCATGAACAGATTGAACAAACAAGGCAACCCGGTTGTAGCGCAGAAGAGCAAATCTGATAAATTTCCTCAAGTGATGTCACTTGAGTCAACAAAATCTGGAAGTTAGAATGACTCAAGTTTACCAGACCTATTTAGTCCACTTGCCATCTCTGCATGAGGTTAGCGGCTCAGGGCTACATTTGCTGTTACTAAAGCACATCCAAATCTCCATCCAACCTGTAAGCAGTGAAGTTGCATTGTGGGTAATGTAGGTGCTAGATAAGGAATAATCACAAGAAATCATATCATAAAAAGGATCTTTGGTTCTGTTGCAACGATTTTTATCAATTTTGCTTTCAACTGTCCAGTCCGAATATAATTAAAGAAGTGAAATCCTAAATCGAATTTAAGATAATATGGCAACGGCATGTCTTCTAGTGCAAACCTTTCTTTGCCTCACAAGTGGCAAAGATTTAACAGCATCACAGCTATCTAGCTTTTTGCCAATAGTTTTGTTTTCTGATGTGTAGTTAGAAGTACAAACCTCACGATGCCATCAGGCCTGGTACCCTTTATTTGATCAAATCATATAAATTACCATTAATATTGTTATACTATTTCAGATTGATCCCGCTCTGGAGGATGAGAAGGGCTGCAGTTTGTCGCAGCCCAGCATCCAGCTGCAGTGTGCTGAGGACTGGACCAGTAACAGAGAAGACAACCGCTGCAGCCCATGCCAGGACGCGTTGCCTCCCCCGTCATCCTTACCCTCTCGATCGCCTTCCCCCTCTCCACCATCCAGACGTGAGGAGGGTCTGCGCTCCTCTTTAACCCTGCAAAGTGCAGAGGCATTTGTAGCACCCATCCACCACAGCCTCAGCATCTCGCATGGCAACCCTCCCATGCTCCTTTCTCACCACGTCTCCTTGGGCCTCACTACCGTGGCGGTAGATGTTCATTTTTACCCAGCAGCCACTGCTTCAACGGCAGTAGGCACGAGCACCCATATCAGTTCAGTCTCTAATTCCACTTCAGTGGCTGCACCTCTGTTCAGTCCTCCGGTAGTTAACCGTCAGGAGAATGACCAATCCACTGCCAGATTTCATCAGAGTAAGTAGATTAGGGCATCAAGTCCAGGACACGCTCATATGAACAACCAGTTCAACAGTCGTAAGAATATATTAAGAATATAATGACTAAACAGTTTGCACAGGGCCACAGGATTATAACTCGGAAAATATATTTTTTACTAACAGTGTCTTTAAGTGTATGGAGTTAGAGCCTGGAGGTGGTTAGCTTAGCATAGCATAAAGACTGGAGATAGAGGGAAACAGCTAGTCTGGCTCTGATAAAGTTAAAAATACACCGACTAACTAATTTAAAACATTATTTACCTCCTTTGTTGAATCTGTACAGTAACTGAAATGTAAAGACAGTTTATCCGTTCACCTGTGCAGCATCTCTACAGCTCAGGACTGTTAACAAGAATTGTAATTAAATTGCGAAGCTCCCTGTAAAATAAAAACTTGTTGTTTTCTGTTTTGGTACAGATTAAACAAACAGTATACATCATGCTACTTACATATTACTGATCTTATGAGATGCTGGTACCTTCCACCTGCCTTCAGTGCTAATGCTTAGCTAGGCTAACACGCGCACAGATATAAGAGTGATATTGATCAACTCATCTAACTCAAATGTGCATTTTTCCCAAAATGTTGAACTATTTCTTTAAAAGAAAATTGTGATACTATGGAGCTGACATATTCTGTATAAGCATTCACAACTTTTTTGTAAAGTGTATTTCATAGCATTAGCACGGTAGTTTCTGTATTACTTCCTGTGTTACATTAATTATTATGTTACAGTCTGACTGTAGTTCAGGCCTCTTCTGAATTGTGGGCTTGCTTTCTACTCTCCTTATTTCACTACTGAAACAGGAAGGTGAAAATGTGCATGCTGAATATTATTTAAATTATTCATTATATAGGATTCATGTTTCATTGTGATGTTATGGGTTAGTTCAAGTACAGTAAGACCTAAATGTGTTGTACAGTATTGACTTATCTAGTGAAACAGCCAAGGATACTTTACTTTGTCACAAAATACTGTATTTCTTTTTGTTCAGTGACTTTCACTCTCTTATATCAAGCTACTTGACTGTTAACACCTTTTTTGAAACCAAAGGAGGGTAAGAGGGGCTGTATCAATAAACATTTAGACAATATAAGCAACGTCTTCAATGATATTTTAGACATGGCCTGGGAATGTTATTTTTGACATAAAGTATGTAAGTTGCTGAAGCTTTTTAAAAGCCCCATAACTATGTGCTCCAAACTTCATCAAACCACATCATGTACCAGTGTTTTATCAGAATGAACACAACTTGCTGTTGAGGCACACCAGTTTCTTCAAAGTGGAAGTTTTAATGATACAGAAGCCGGTCTCTCTCTGGAAGGTGCTGGGCTTCCAGTACTCAGGGGAGCAGATGGAGTTTCCCATCAGGCCTTTCAGGGCCTTTTTTTTTCATAATAAAATTTAGCATCCCATCCTTATTCTGGTCCCATCTTATAAATCTACAGTTTTGGGATCTTGGAGTTCAGTAAAGTATTAATCGGACTAATCTTAAAATAGAAGAGATGAATTACAATTTTTTCATGAATTTAATATTTGCTCTAAACATTTGGGATAAAGTACAGGCTACAAGCTACGACTGAAATCCATTAGAACTCATTTACATGCGAGTTTTTACTTTATCAAGAGCTCTCTTGATACTACATTTGACTCTAAAAAATACACTGTTTTATTCCTGTAGCTATTGAAAGGGTGAATATTTTAAATTAATGTAGTACAGAGACTTGTTTTTTTCAATAGGTAACATATTCATATTCATATTCTAATCTTATTCAATAAATTGTTTTGGGTCACTCTTTGTAGAGTTAAAGGCTTTTTAACAGCAGACATTTTGACTTTTCATAGAAGGAAAACCACAGGAAATAACATGAATGATGTCTCTGTTTTATGACAGTGAGCCAGCATGCACACTATCTGAAACTGCAGCAGCTAAATGGGTATTTGTTGCCCTCTAGCAGCTGAAATCTGCTAAGTGCAGCGATCACACTCGACATGAAACAGTCTTGAAATGTAACCCACAGAGGTCAGTGCAACCACACTTTTCTGCCATGCTGGCTGTAACTTCTCAAAATAGATATTTAATTTAGATTAGTTTGCAGTTATTTTTGCATCAGAAGTAGTGTACAGTAATCCTGCAGTGTGTTCAGCATGCGAGCCCCCATGACATGATACCAGTATTGGTTTTACTTATTTAGTTAACACTAAATACACATGAACTAATTACATTTGAAACAGAGAAGTACTGCAGACAAAACCACAGCAGTGTGTGATCACTTTTCTCACGCATGCTATGAGGTGATACTCCACCCTCTACATCCTGTTCATCAGTCGAGAACTCACACAGTTAACCGTTTAGTATTGGGATTGTAGGTTTTTCTTAATTCATATTATATACGACAGAAATAAATCATGATCTAGTCCTCATCGTTGCAGTACAGAACCTGATTGGTTTGATCTGCACCCCTTCCTCATGCGAAGTTGCTCCTGATCAACGTACTTAAACCCCCAGTGGAGTGGCCAGGTCACAAAATCACTCCTCTCCTAAAATCCAGTCCAAATGGGATTATGACAAAGAATAATTATATTAAATACAACTACAGTATCTCCCACAGTCAGTATATTCAGAAACGAATTATGATTATTGAAATCGTTATTAAAGTTCAGTAGGTAATTTCCTTGGTTTTGCCTCCTCCTTATTCCGGGGAACATGGAAGTCCACGTATGGACACCACTTGGTGTTGAGGCACACCAGTTTCTTCAGAGTGGAAGTTTTGACGATATTGAAACCTGTCTCTCCCCCAAAAGTGCTGGGCTTCCAGTACTCAGGGGAGCAGATGGGGTTTCCCATCAGGCCTTTCAGGGAGAAGGGAGCACCCATCTCCACCATGCTCTCACCAAATAGACTGTTGGGACGTGTTTTCTCCAGCAGGACGCCGGGGTAGAGCTCCAGAGCATTTATGTCACCATAGAGCTCCTCCAGACCTCTGGCCATTTCTATGTCATCTATTTGGAGAAGAGAAAACAGCAGTTAATAAACTGTTGGCCTGATAAATCATGTTACACCAGACCGCCCTGTATGTGTCACACAGATTAAATGGGTGTTTTTCTTTAACCACTTCAAAAACATAGTGTGCTAAACCATTCTCAGTCATCTCAACACCTATTGTTTTATGTTTCGATCCACTATAGCAGCACAGCTCCAGTGATGCTACTCAGCTGCCAGAAGAAATGTTGTCATCGTATGTTTCTGCAAACAACTGGAAACGTTGAATGTCATCGTTTCTGAACCAAAATATGTATTTCATGAATACATTTCTTCTTGGATCTTCTATCTTGGATCACACTTGCAGAAATGCGCAATGCCACGTGGTCAACATTTTTAACTTTTATCGTTATCATTGTTACCACAAAAATGAAAGACAAAATACCGACTTCATCTCTGCAATGATAACGTTCGTTTTTCCTAAAATCATTTGACATCCAACTGCGGCAAAGAAATGTCAAATTTGAAATCAAGAGCATAAATGCTATATTACATTATTGCTGCTTACCAGTGAAGTCATAAAACGAGGTGTATGGCTTTAGGTTGAACTTCTTCCTGTATTCATTAAAGGGCTGCACGCGTGTTGCTCGGGACTCTCTGATGACCATTTCTGCCACCTTGAGCACTACTGCATGAGAGTTGTGACCTCCACCTATCTGAAACACAAACAAAGACGTTACTGTAGTACTGAACTGTTCGTAGTGACACCATCAGCCAGATAAAAAAAACAAAAAAAAAACACTTACTGACTGTGCATCTTAATTCTCAGCAAACAGATATAAAGCGTTGCAAGAAAATGATGCTGCTGAAAGATACGAGAATATTGTCTCTCATTTGATTTTAGGAAGTGATTAAGAAACACAGTGTGCACACAGTGCTTAGAAATACGTGTAAAATGAGAGGTTTTCTCAAGGGAATCTGGTGCTAGAGACACTACTGCTTTAGTCTACAGGACAGCAAAAATCAATACAATAGGAAATTAGATAGGGGGAACATAAAAATTAGTTATTAAGTTCCTCTTAGTAGCTTTAAAGAGAAGTACAAAAGTTTCATCAGCAAAGTGTACTTTAAGTAACGAAAGGTATAAGTACTTGATCTGCAGGAAAATTACCCTTGACTGACATTTACAGTATTTATTTTTAATACTGATGCAGCAATGCAAGACGGATTAATGGGACTGGATAGAAGGAAAAAAACAAGCTATGTTACACTAATTTGTTTTTCATTTTTTGGTACTTTTCTCTAACCGTTCTTTTGTTAACTATTGAATGATTTTACTTCTTTGGGACTTAAACAGATACTTAAATAAAGTCATCTGAGAAGTTTAGAGTTAAAATCTCTCCATCAAAATTTTTATTTGAAAAGTAACTAATAACTACAGCTGAGGGATAAATGTAGTGGAGTAAAAAGTACAATATAGTATAAAGTAACATTAAATGTACATACCTAAGTACAAGTAACTTCACATCTAAAAAAGCAACACTAACCAGGCTGTAGCTGCATTGGTACCTCTATCACTGGATTCTTGTAAACAAACAGTAGACGGTACTTATCTACCTGTCCTGCAGGTTGTTTGGAGAAGGCATCCACCATTTTCTCCACACCGTAGTGCATGAGGAGGGAGGTGTTGTAAATAAACTGGGAGTACGGGACTTCATCTCCGTCGATGAGGAAGCTGTCGGGCATGAGCGGGTGCCAGTGGTAGATGTGGCAGAACTCCAGAGCGATGCGGTTGCTGTACTGGAAGCGTGCGTTGAAGAGCAGGGTGGGGTCGAACTTCAGATTCAGCAGGTAACCACTCAGATGCTGCACGTACTCTTCTATTATGATGTTGATGATCTCTCCTGGGGGGGGCAAAAAATATCATCACTTGATGTCACACACTGAGCTAAACCTTATCAAAATGACTGATAATTACTCAAACAATTAGAGCTGAAACGATAAGTTAATTCCTCTATTAGTTGATTGACAGAAAATTAATAATCAACTTATCTTGCAAGTCATTTTGCAAGCAAAAATGCCCAAAATGATGCAGTTACAGGTTACAGCAATTAGGTGTTTTTCTTGGTCTTAAATTATAACAATTGGAATATTATTGTGATTTGGAGTGTTGGTCGGACAAAACAAGGCATTATATGAAGTCACTTTTGATATGTTTTCACAGTTTTCTAAAGTTTTAAACACCAAACAATGTTTATTTCATATTTACAATAATTCAAATATATATTTGTTCCAATCACTCTGTCACAGAGAACAGAGAAAGAAGATTTGCTCCCGACGCCCTCACCAATGATGATGAGTCTGGTGGTCTGGAAGAGCTGCTCATCGTCCCAGGTGGGATGTTCTGCCTTCAGGATGTCACAGACTCTGTTATGCTCCCTCAGCCATACGGTGGCGTACATGGTGAGGCCCGGCAGGAGGCCGAACACCTCCTGACCGATGACCAGGCGCTTTTCTGGAGGGAAGTTCTCAGGATACACCATGTGCACAGGGACCTCAGATGTAGTAGGAGGGTACATCTCACCATTTACTGTCTGTGAACAAACAAAACAAGTAATTCAGAGAGAGATAGTTTGAAGATGTGATTCTGAACCATTTAACCATTTTAATACCCCATTTTCTTCCCCATGTTTCGGTAAATTTAAGTTTTGTTGTGCACAGGTCATGACAGGACTTGTGAATACCATGCTGGTAGAGTAGGCCTACCACAGAACATCCTCAAGCAGAGTGCCTTTTAGATAAAAAAAATGGTTTGAGGAAGTTCCCTCTCAAACCCTGATAACAAGCATGTCGAAGGCACCAACCAGTGTGACACAGGAAGTAAAAGTTTATCAAGACTGACAGTCTTACCACAAAATACTAATATTTATAAAATATTTTGTAATGGCACTCATATCATACAGTTATAAGATTAATTTTACTATCAAGATGTCTGATATTTCAAAGATAAATGCAAGAAAATGCCATATAGCTTGTAAGTCTTAATGTAGATGTGTTTGACATTTTGGGAAATATTCTAAATAGCTTTCTTGTTAAAACTTCGATGAAAATATTGGTACCACACATCACTGTTTTTGGTTTGATTAAACAAATGAGATGCTGGTAGGTAGATTTTGTTCCGTTCAGACAGAACCAGACTAGCTGTTTCTCCTGATTCCTGTCTTTATGCTAAGCTAAGGTAAGCTAACCCGCTGCAAGGCTATTAAATGTAGCTGATACACTGTTTTGAGCTATGGGGTATAATATATTTGCAGGGTAACTGGAGCTGTTATGTTAACTTTTTGGGTACGCTCAAATGGATGGCGGCCGTTACAATAAAACGTTTGTGTATCTGTTTTAAAGTTCTTTTCAATGATTGCAAAATTGTAATTTTCACCCATAAAGTAGGCTACACTGGACGCCACAGTGAAACCAATCAATCATCCTCATGTTTTATGATTGTGTGTCAGCTAGTGAGCATGTCAGTAAGTGCAGACCACATTTAACATTATGACTCGTTATAAGGCTGTCACCTCTCTTCTTTTAAATCTGTTTGACTGCTTGCTGGCTCCTGCGATGTATTTACAATAAAGACATGTGAGCGATTAATGAATCTTCTCATCTAACTCTAGTAAAAAAGCCAATAAGCATATTTCTTGAAATTAAGACTTTCTTTATTACCTGATATTTTAGCTTTCCATCTTTATGAAGCCGGAGGTGATGCTGTCGGATGAGGTCGTTTCCGTAGATATTGCTCGCATCCACCTGGTGAGAGAAGAATACATGAATGTGTCAATAGATTCAAAAGTCAAACACATTCACAACCAACAATGGATTCATAAAAGGTAACAGGTATTTATGGTTTAATAATAATTAAATTCTGGTTGTGGCTAACTGCTGAACTGCCAGTGCTGTGTGTGTCTCACCCCGTGTCCTAAAGCCTTGGTGAAGCCACCTTGAACTTCATAGGCTGTCTTGAAAAACTGGTGGGTGAAGTGCTGGGCCATGAAGGCAAACATCAAATTGGTTCCCTGAGGGTCTGGCCTAAATGTCTTCCTCCTAAAAAACCTCTCAGTCAACACTTTGGGATCAGGCAGATCAGGTTTACCTGTTGAGAAAGAAACATTTAAAGATTTCCTCAGGAACACCGTTGTCTGTGTGCAGTTGAGCAGGTCTCACCTTTAGCTCCCATCGGTAGAGGGCAGTCTTCAGGTACCGGAGGGAGGAGACGGGTGTAGTAGGAGATGTTGTAGTACGACTCCCAGTTGAGGTATCCATACTTGGTATTGTAGGTCGGAGGGCTTGGAATAAGGTCGCTTCTGACTTTGTGAGAAAAATGACAAAATATTGTGAAATACAAATTAATTTTTTGTACATTTTCCAATTTTACCGTCTCTTTGAAATGAATGAAGCACCTTGTTTGGACAGCTGATTAATTTCCTAACCTATATAAAGATTTAAGGGATAAGGCTGGTCAGATACTATATGTATCTTATTGTCAACAAATCCCATGAAAAGACCAAAACCAACAATGCATTGATCCTACTAGCACGCTACTAGCTACAAAGCCCGATATAGCTTATTCTTCTGCTCTATGGAGCTCAATTGTTGCCCAAAATCTATTAAAAATACATAAATTAGCCAAACCTTAAGCACTGTATGTATTTCTACTCAGCCCACAAACACTGTCCTGTAGCAATACTTGCTAGCAAAATATTTAGCTTGTTTTTTAGTTTTTTGAACATCTTTAGTGGGCACCAATGGGCATTTTCATGGATTTTGTTGGCAATAAGTTAAGTATCGAATAACAATAGACTTTACCTTAAACTATGCTTTCAGTTTGCTTGCAAAGAATACAACAGCCCAAAGTAAGAGCGTTCAACTCTGAAAATATAGAGCAAAGGAAATCGTAATGCTCATTTATAGTAACCCAGTTCCTCTTTTGTGGGTTCAAATAATCTTTTGCACACTCTCAAAACTTGTCCTGCATCAAGGAAAAAACCCTCTAGATGCACTTACTGCTCACATTTATTTAGTCTAAAAGCAGTTTTATACACACATCTGCATGCAAACAGCTTTGTGTCTATAGATGAGGCAAACCCACTCTGACCTCTCTTCCTTGCTTCTCATACGAATATTATGACAATTAACCCACCAGGCCTTATCTAAAAAAGCTTTGAACTCAGCAATATATTCATCAAAATGTGTCTCCACCTTTAAATAAATCAACGTTAATAAAACCCAAACTCCTGGACAACACTGCGTATCAAAGTGTACATGCTGTGACAATAAATAACAGCGAAGATCTGTAGAAAATGGTGGGAAAATATTGGCTGCAAGCCAGTCGTGTTGACTTCTCTGCAGTGGTCTGTGTGATTCTGCTCATTGATTGACTTGTTTTTTTTAACCTACCCGTCAGCACTAATCTCATGACTGTGTCCCGCAGGAAAGAGCTGTTGACGAGGTCCCAGAACCAGTGGAAGTGGGTGAGGATGAAGTGAACCACTGAAGGCCTCGGCTTCAGCGTGAGACAAACTCTTGTCCAGAGCTCCGCTGCACACAAAGATAGAATAAATATTCTTTAAATAAACTTCTAATGAATCAGCCTTTGTACAGGGTTTAGAAATTGTGACTATTGTAAATAAATCATTTATCAATGCTTTATAGAGAGAAACCTTTGTGTTTTCACGTTTGTTTTGTGTTTCTTCTCCTTCAAAATGCCCCTTGCTTTATGTTTTTAGTTCTTTAGTTCATTAAGTGGTGAAGGGTTAGGATGAGGATCGGTCCATCGGACTGTTTGACGTTCACCCTTCTGATGAAGAGCTGCAGGAACTGCAGACTTTATAGATTATTGTAAAAACCCTTTCTTAGTATTTTAACTATACATCATTTAACTAAAATAAGAAGAGCATTAGAGTGGTTAGGGTTAGCATGGTGTTTGGTTAAATGTAACATTTAAGTAGCACTGGAGCTAACAGGTACTTGGGAAGTTGACCAGCCGTTCACTTGAAGGGTGACTTTTAAATATTTTTTCTGTACTTACGAACAGTGCAGTTGTCTCCATAGAAGCCAGTGCGAGTGCAGTCACATTCGTAGCGATCTGTACCAAATCTCACACACACTCCTGAGTTCTGACAAGGGTAACAACAACAGGGATTCACTGCAAAGGAAGAAAAAGATCAACTTACTTTCTATGAATGAATAATTGGAAGAATGTTGCCACTGCTGAACTAAATGACAGTGCAGATGATGTATTGCCTGTCATTACCAAAACCAAATTCAAACACAGACAACCTGAAAATGTAGAATTAATTTACATATTACTGTGTGTGTTTGTGCGTGTCAAACATGTCCCATAACATCTTAAAGCTAAAAACAACTCGAAACTTTTATTATCTCACATTATCACTACCCCAAAAATGTAGCGGTTGCCTAAGGGTTAGGGAAGTCGGCTGCCCGCCCTCATTACCACCACTGACTCAGAATATACGGTTCACAGAAAGTCTTTAATAAATTAGGACTTCATTGCTTGTAAAAAGTTGCTGCTGCCTAGCACCAACCCCAACCACCTTCCTCATATCTTCAACACTCTGCTGTTGTAGTACGGCTTCCTGTCCTCCCTTCAGACTTGCAAAAGTCCAATGTGATGATGAGACGCTGCAGTTTTTTCTTCCTCATTAGCTATGAATGAGAGGATAGATAAGCATGCCCACCCTACATGAACGACAAACAAATGTAGGTTTCTAAAAAGGAGAACTGTATGAATGCATGCATGAGCTGTTAGTTAAAATAGCACTGATGTGTTATGTAGGTCTATATGTTTACCAGGAAAGCAGATAACAAATGTATTTATTGCACACACAGCATGAGTAAATGCAAAATGGTGCTACTTCTGTTTAAATTGAATCACCATAGGTAGGTATTTCATTACTATTTTACACTTTTTCATACCATTGCTTATGATATGTATTACACTCTTTTATCAAGGTCGATCAATGGTGGCTTAATTTGAAATAAAAAGTCAGTTTATTCATACATCCATTCATGGAGCGTTTCCTAAAGAGTACTTTTAGGTTTGATACTTTAAGTATATTTTGCTTTTGTGCTTTTACTTGAAATGATGAATTATGAATGCTGGACTGTATTTGTATTGAGTGGAATTTCTACATTTAATAAAAAGATCTCAATACTTCATCCACCACTGCTGCTGCTGCAGCTGTTTTCTAATATTTCACTGATTTTGATACAACAACCTGATATTTTCTGTGTTTAACTTGAATTTACAATATGGGCTTCTTGCTGTCATTCATTAATTTGCTATGAAAAAAGTGATTGTAGTGTATGAATGTCGAACTTTACGTGACAATATTAAGATAGGAAATGTAATATTGTAAACTTGGCATTTCTTTTTACTTTCTGTCACTATGTCTGTCTCAGTTGTTGTTATCTTCTGTCCAAGTCTACAGCCACTTCTCAGCTCCCCCAGGCCACTACATTTACCGTTCTCCATCCATCCACCAGATGCTCTCAGAATCTCCCACCTGTCTCAGTCGCCCATCTCTCACATCCACCTGCTCACCCGTTTCCACTTTCCCTCATCAGCCCTGCAGTATACAACAGGCCTATTTCCACCCATTCTCTGCCGGATTCTCAGTATTTCTTTGTGCCTTCCTTACTCATACAATACCCTATCCATTAACCCTTGTACTATAAGCTTCATAATAAAGAAAGAATGTATGCATCATCATGAAATACCACATTGTTAGTCTAAACAATTAAGATGTGTTGTGATGAGGGGGAAAAACCGTCTTACCAACACTTGATTCAGCAGCACATGATGAGCTCCCCAGCAGCAACAGGTTGAGAAACCAGATGGAAAAGATGCTAAACTCTACAAAACATAATTACAATATTATCTGGCAGTAAAAACATCAAATTCTATCTGCAGGTGTTTAATAATTTGAGGACTCACCTTTCATGGTTCCTACGAGCGGATCGTCCTACGAGGGCTCAAAATTAAATTATAGTTGTCTGAAAACGAGTTTCTAGAAAGTAATTTGAGAGACATGGGTTTGCTACTCTCCTAACAACCCAAAGACCTGCTAATATGGTCGAATGGGCTTTATAACCACAGCTATAGGGAATGGGTGGTGACACAGCTTCCTCCACTTCCTCCATTTAGTCAGCAATACATTTCAAAGAAAGTCTGCTGCCACTGGCGCATCGTTTTGATCGTTTTTAACCAGATGTGGTGGGCAAACTGGTCTCAGAATTACATCTAGTGTGTAAAAAGTATTCAAAAGATGAATATTATTAACTTTAATGTGTCATTCAATTCATTGCAGTGAAAGAAAACAGTGAAGGATGCGCAAGGAAGATTTCAAAGCGCTTTATCGCCACCTGCTGGCGAATTCATATAACATTACTTGTTTAAATTAAACCATTACATTTCAAATTGACATTTACAAAATTGACCCTAACAGATGTCGGTACTAAATATCCCAGTAACCCTAAATGCTCTTGTGCAATAGACACCCTCATTACACTTGATGTGTGTGCAAGATAAAACAGCTATCAATTATCTAACTGTGGTGGACTTTTTTAGAATTGCATCCTACAAAACTGATCTTAGTGTTGCAGACATAAACAGAGTAGAGTAGAGTGTTTGCATTCACGGCTTATCATATCAAAGATTGAATATTTGTTGATCAATTCAATGTAGAATGAGGAGCGTAGTATTACTCATCAAAGTATATTAATCAATGAGCAGATACTGAGAATACAGTCTGCACTACAAGGTTCATTTAGTAGCCGTTCTGGAGCTTTTGATAATATTACACAACCTTCTTCAGCCGATTGAGTTGTTCCTTATTAAGTTTTGATTTTACTGAGCAGTTTCAGGACTTCTTGTCCAACAATTATACTACAGAGACACTGACACAGACTGGGAAAGTATATGTGATTTGTGCTTTCTTGGGAATATAGGGGTTGAGTCACAGGACAGAGGACGTCCTCTTTTTAAAATGAACCAAACATTACTGTTGAATAGCCAACTTCTGATCTTTGATACCTTCCACAGAGACATCATCTGAGCCAAACCTATGTGAGATATTTGCCGGTTGAAGTAATTTCCTGCATACTGTAGCAATTTTATGACTAGCTTGTCCACATGGAGATGAGTCAAATCTTGACCAAAAACATGTTCAGCTAATTTTTTTGAACTTCGCAGACCTTACCTTCCGCTCTCTCTGAAGAGTTGCTGAATGTTTCTTATTTGCAACAAATGCAGAAAAAGAATTCACTTTGTTCAGATGGGCTTAACTAAATTTATTCTAGGAATACAACACTTATTAAAAACATAAGCAGCTGATCAGTCTTTGCCAAACCAAAAACCACAACAGCCGTGGAAAAGGTTTCTTTTATGTTCTATTATCTACGAGGGGATTTTAGTATGTGTCGTGGTTCATGTAAATTAAAATCATATATATCATTGAACATATACGCCGACGTTTTCATTTTCATCTGGCCAAGGGACAGCAGTTGAGTCCTTTACCCACTGGCACATTTGCAGTGATGTTGATCAATGATCTGCTTTGTTACGGTAAAAATAAAAAATGTTTGATGATAAATTTAATGTCATATCAGAAGAAGCATCTAAAATGGCTCCTATGACTTTACCATAAACAATTTGCAGGTTTTTTATGCTTTCTCTAGACAACAATTGTATTCGTCTATTTAGACAATTAATCAATTAATCCTGGCTATTCTACTTAAAATGCCTGCTTGCCTGTTTGTGCTGAATGTTTATCTATTCGCCATTTGTAGATAATAATTGTATGCAACTAATTCTGTAGGCTATTTTTCTCTGGACGTTACCGTCTTCAACACCTGTTTTGTTTGAACCTGTTGTTGTTCCTATATATTTGGTGCACTGGGGTAGCCTATATGGTTTCTTGTATATGGAGAGAAAGACAAAACCTTCTGCCTGAGGCCTTGAACTGGCTTTTTGTGCGTTTCAATAAAGATTTGACCTTTTAAGAAATATATTTTAATAGTCCTATATGTGCTTTCTTCAACTAAGTTGCCACTGCAGTACAAAGGAACACTGATCTGGTTCTTAAAGTAAAAAAAAGAAGTAAAACCTTTAATCTTAGAAGTAGGAGGAGCACTTTCATGTAGCATTAAGTCATTTTACCCCTCTCACTGATTAAACAGGGGATTTCTGGGAACTGTAGGAATGTATAAAACCCATAATTATTGGAAACTGTAACACAATTGTGATATCTCCACTCTCAATACATTTTAAAACATGCTCATGACTGTCAGTGCTTGGTGAACTTTTTTTTCTTTTCATTGTTTAGTGTTGAAATGTCACAATGGAAAAACCGAGTGGAGCGACTGTAGAGCATCCATATACATCACTCTTCAATGGACTTTCAGTTTACCAACCAACCGCTGCAGCTTCAAACTATATCTGAGTTACATTCTGTTTCCTAGACATGATTGATATGAAAAAGAATGAGAGGCATCAGGAACTAATTATCAAATCATCATTCCCCCGCCGTACAAGTGCCTGAAAGGGACTCGTATCGGTGCAGGGCTCGTAGACGTGCTGCGGGTTGCCATGGTGCTGTTGGCTCAGCCTGCAGACCGAGGCTCGCTGCTTCCTATAGCACTCCTGGTAATTGAGATCAGATGCTCCTCTGAGTGGAACCTGGACTGGGAGTAACCTGGAAGCATTTATTTTATGGCGAAGATGTTTAGTTAAGCTATATGCTCCCGCTCTAAATGAGCCTCGGTCCGGCTCTGGTGATGAATACGATTGGTGAAAGCACTGAAGGCTTGTTCCTGACGTCTTCCCCCCCCCTGGATCGGGTTACAGATTAGCAGACTTCCTGTCCAGTTGGGGAACAAGCCGACCCAACTGACGGAGAGGCGATAGGCGTACAGGCAACGGGCATCATGTGTTATCTCAGATGGGTTTTTTTCCGACACACAGCGGTAGGTCCTTAAAACAGCCAACCAGGTATCATTAAAACTGTCTGAAGAAGCAGCTGATTGTAAAAGGAGGACAGACCTCCTCTGGAGTCAGCTGGTGGTCCATTCATCAGTGCTGGAATTAATCAACTGTACTCAGGCCTGCACTAGTCGGTATTGTGCATAAACAATGTATTAAATGACTATGTGTAATGTGAAAGGTGACAAACCCACAGAGACTTATCATCCGACTCTGTCGTCCCCCTTAGCCGTATGGAGCTTGCACATTTAGCTCATTGTTTTGTTGAACAGCATAAAAAAAAGTGGGCTCTTATCTGCCAGCCGCATAATATCATCATGATGACTACCCAACAGTAGGCAGGTAGAAATATATCATCTTAAAATACCTCATGAAAAGGTTGCCAACCCCCTGCTGTAGATGATCAGTCACTGGGTCCTCACATTGTACTGTGAGCTGGGCCCCAAGTGTTCACAGTCCTCAGGCCTTTTACACTACAGGCTATACAAAGGATCTGAGATCAGTGGGAGGAGCGAGACTCGGACTCATTCATCAGCTGTCTGAGAGCTGGCACGGTTCACCATAGAAAAACACAAGAGTCCCCTCACTGTAATTTAGTCACTCTGCAGACTCACCACATCTGAAGTGTTCACGGTTTCAGGCCCTCACAAGTTTAAGGGTCCATGAAACGCAAACACTCGTAGCTGAGTATCCATCCACGTGTCACTCAACCAGAAGGTACCATAAGTCTTAAAATGGATAAATTAACTATGCCACCGTGTGCACTCTCTGCTTTATAACACATGCTCCTGCTGAAGGACCAGGGTTACTCCTATCAAAATAAATAGTGAGGGAGTCCTGGTTGTGCTCTGAGCAATACCGCTCTTTACTAAAACACTCCTCTGTTTCCTGTCCCACCTTCCATACTTCCTCTTACTGATCGGAGTGCGAGCGTGCCCGGCACCAGCCACCCCTACTTGACACAGCTCGACTCCGCCACTCTACACCCAGAGCTGCAAGGATCAGCAGTGCTGCAGGATATTGCAGTCGGCATCAAACTAAACACACAATGCGTCCTGCACAAGTAATCTCCACGTTTGAACCTATTTGATGTGACAGTTTAAACACTTGAACTCGGGAGTTGGCCTGTCAGGTGGGGGAGGTGGTGTTGGAGGAGGTTGGGTGGTGCCGTGTGTGGGCTGTGCGTGTACTGACCTAAAGGAGGTTTTTTTCCGTGATTAGGAGCCCCGTTCACCTCTGATTGCTCCGGGTCACTGCAGGTGAGTGCAAGTGGTCGGAAGGAGGTAATTTTCCTTCTGGAGCTGGTTACCTGATTGGGTAAGTAGCTAATCTTTGACATTGGCCTGAGTCCTCAAACATATCAAGAGCTGGATACTGATCAGAGAGGCAAGATAAACTGCTAAATTAAAATCAGACAGAGCGATCACAACAGGTTCACGAAATTGAACTTTGTGTGTATTATCATATTTTGGCTGTGGAATGATTGTTCCTAAAGGAAGCTGATTTAATTAGATACTAAATTTCTACTTCCTTTGATCGGTTTTCTGTCATTGCCAATGGGGAAAATAAACTTCTCTCACACACATCCACGTCCTTGTCATATATCCAATAAACAAATAACGTGCTGCTCACAGAAATTCTCGTCTGGGAGGTTGAGAGGTCAAATTCCCTTATGCTGTATGAAAGGAGGTTAGAGGTAAGGCGTAGCAACAGATCACAGACCCTGAAGCTGGAAGAGGTTCAGCATTTTGCTAATGGATAGTCCAACCTTTTTTGCTTGCAAGGGGTACTTCAACGATTCAGTGAGAAACAGATTGACAAAAGAAAGATAAAAATCAAGGCAGCAGAAGTGGGGAGATATCCTGACTTTTAGCTCTGAACTCCTCACCCCTAACACAAGCTTTATGTTATACATTTGAAGCCAAAACTGAGTTAACCCTGATCATATCACGATGGTTATTTTCTGAGAATTTAGAAAGCTCCACCAGATAGAGGACATTATACAACTGTTTTCACAGGCTGAGTAGAACTCTTCATGACAAGTAAACGTATTGTGTGAAATCG